GTAAAATCTAAAGTAGTCAAAAACGGCCAATAGTGACTCACAGACTCCACAGACAAGTCCCTTTGGCGCCACTCAGTGGGCAAAACTACTTTGTCTACTGTAATGTATATTTGGGTCATCTTTGGCGCCCCCTAAAACGTAAACCGTGGGGTGCAGCGTCATGATTTTTACAACTTTGAATGGCCATGGAGTGTAGATTGGCCTGAGCAAATTTGGTGTCAGTGGGACGAAAGCCTTAGGAGGAGTTAGCGAAATTCCAATGTGTGCGAATCGGCAAAAAATGCAAAATAGCCCTTTTACCGTACATTATACAGATACGCGCTCTTTGACTTTTTCGTAGATCTAATTGAGATACACATGATTGTCAATTTTTGTGTCATTTTGCCAAAGCGTACAGGCGTGACAGTCAACAATGTGTATTTTCACCTTAGGGGACAAGAAAAAATGGACTTTTTTCTCCTGCCATGGGGGGGCGCTCTTTTAGGGAGTAAAAATTCCTTCACAAATGTGTTGATGGCTGGACATTGCATCATCCTAGAAAACTTGGAGGCCAGTGAGGACAAAAATAAAAAGTTAAAAGACTTTTAAAAATGTGGATTTTTGGGTTATCTTTGGCGCCCCCTAGAACGTAAACCGTGGGGTGCAGCGTCATGATTTGAATAACTTTTAATGGCCATGGGGTGTAGATTGGCCTGAGCAAATGTGGTGCCGGTGGAACGAAAGCCTTCGGAGGAGTTAGCGAAATTCCAATGTGTGCGGATCGGCAAAAAATGTGAAATAACCCTTTAACCGTACATTTGACAGATACGCCCGCACTGACTTTTTTGTAGATCTTATTGAGATACATGTGTGTGTCAAATTTTGTGTCATTTTGACAAAGCGTACAGGCGTGACACTCAATAGTGTGAATTTTCACCTTAGGGGGCGCTATGGAGCCATTTTGCATTTTCTTGTTTGGGCGACTTCGGAATATCAAATTTTTCACCAGGCCCGGTCGTCCTGCCAAATTTCATGAGTTTTCGCCAGTGGGAAGTGGGCCATTTTCCAGTTCAAAGGGGAGGAAAAAGAAAAAAGAAACAAAGAAAAACCCCTTGGGGAATAATAGGGCTCTCGCAGCTGCTTAGCAGCTACGCTCGGGCCCTAAAGAAAGAAAGAAAGAAAGAAACAAAGAAAAACCACTTGGGGAATAATAGGGCTCTACGCCCGGCTGCTCTGCAGCTGGCTCGGGCCCTAACTAGGGCCCCGGTGGGGCACTGGCGGGCCCGAGCTGTGTCGCGCGCCCCCCCCCCCAACGCGCTGCCTCCCCGTCCCATTCGCGTCCTCTGGCCATCGTCCTCTCTGGTAACGCCCATCACTGCAAAGACCCTTTTCCTTCATCGGCGTTTGCTGTTCTTCCTGCCAGTGCGTGTGGCTTTCACTTGCACTTGCCACAGCCAGCCTCGTGAGTGCCTAGCCTATTGGATATCACTGTCACCTACACAGGACAGTCATTACCTTTCTATTAATACTTTGTTTTTTAATTTCACATTAATTTCCATATTGTCTAAACGACTGGAAAAAACTTGAGCCCCTGCCCCTGTATAATCATGTGCACGTCCCTGTTCTAGCTCCAAGGTGAATCTTGACTGCTCATGTTCTCCTCAGAAGCAGTCACCTCACTCCACTCAGGTTACTGTACACATGCACCAACTGCCTGCTTCAGGTTTGGATGGAGCTTCATGGTTGTCTTTTGGAGAAATGAGCAGTCAAGTTGTGTTTGAAATTTCATTTTTTTCAGGGGCAAAAGGAAGTCTCTGCATTGTTGTCAAATATGTAAATAGCATGTTTTTGCAGGTGCTGAAAAACAGACTCTGAGTGTGTGTGTGTGTGTGTGTGTGTGTGTGTGTGTGTGTGTGTGTGTGTGTGTGTGTGTGTGTGTGTGTGTGTGTGTGTGTGTGTGTGTGTGTGTGTCTGTGTGTGTGTATCCTGCAGTACTCTGTACTCCTGCAGTGGCCAAAACGACTTTTAAGAATGTGGATATTTGGGTCATCTTTGGCGCCCCCTAGAACGTAAACCATGGGGTGCAGCGGCATGATTTTTACAACTTTGAATGGCCATGGGGTGTAGATTGGCCTGAGCAAATTTGGTGTCAGTGGGACGAAAGCCTTAGGAGGAGTTAGCCACATTCCAATGTGTGCGAATCGGCAAAAAATGCAAAATAGCCGTTTAGCCGTACATTTTACAGATACGCGCGCATTGACTTTTTCGTAGATCTTATTGAGATACACGTGTGTGTCAAATTTTGTGTCAATATGACAAAGCGTACAGGCGTGACATTCAACAATGTTTATTTTCACCTTAGGGGACAAGAAAAAATTGACTTTTTTGTCCTGCCATGGGGGGGCGCTCTTTTGGGGAGTAAAAATTCCTTCACAAATGTGTTGATGGCTGGACATTGCATCATCCTAGAAAACTTGGAGGCCAGTGAGGGCAAAAATAAAAAGTTATAAAACTTTTAAGAATGTGGATTTTAGGGTTATTTTTGGCGCCCCCTAGAACCTAAGCCATGGGGTGCAGCATCATGATTTGTACAACTTTGAATGGCCATGGAGTGTAGATTGGCCTGAGCAAATGTGGTGCCGGTGGACCGAAAGCCTTCGGAGGAGTTAGTGAAATTCCAATGTGTGCGGATCTGCAAAAAATGCGAAATAACCCTTTAACCGTACATTTGACAGATACGCCCGCACTGACTTTTTTGTAGATCTTATTGAGATACATGTGTGTGTCAATTTTTGTGTCATTTTGACAAAGCGTACAGGCGTGACAGTCAACAATGTGTATTTTCACCTTAGGGGACAAGAAAAAATGGACTTTTTTCTCCTGCCATGGGGGGGCGCTCTTTTGGGGAGTAAAAATTCCTTCACAAATGTGTTGATGGCTGGACATTGCATCATCCTAGAAAACTTGGAGGCCAGTGAGGGCAAAAATAAAAAGTTATAAGACTTTTAAATATGTGGATTTTAGGGTTATCTTTGGCGCCCCCTAGAACCTAAACCGTGGGGTGCAGCGTCATGATTTGAATAACTTTTAATGGCCATGGGGTGTAGATTGGCCTGAGCAAATGTGGTGCCGGTGGAACGAAAGCCTTCGGAGGAGTTAGCGAAATTCCAATGTGTGCGGATCGGCAAAAAATGCGAAATAACCCTTTAACCGTACATTTGACAGATACGCCCGCACTGACTTTTTTGTAGATCTTATTAAAATACATGTGTGTGTCAATTTTTGTGTCATTTTGACAAAGCGTACAGGCGTGACAGTCAATAGTGTGAATTTTCACCTTAGGGGGCGCTATGGAGCCATTTTGCATTTTCTTGTTTGGGCGACTTCGGAATATCAAATTTTTCACCAGGCCCGGTCGTCCTGCCAAATTTCATGAGTTTTCGCCAGTGGGAAGTGGGCCATTTTCCAGTTCAAAGGGGAGGAAAAAGAAAAAAGAAACAAAGAAAAACCACTTGGGGAATAATAGGGCTCTCGCAGCTGCTTAGCAGCTACGCTCGGGCCCTAATAACAAAAGAAGGAAACTACAGGAACAAGAGGGCTCTCGCAGCTGCTTAGCAGCTACGCTCGGGCCCTAAAGAAAGAACTAGGACCCCGTTGGGGCACTGGCGGGCCCGAGCTGTGTCGCGTCCCCCCCCCCAACGCGCTGCCTCCCCGTCCCATTTGTGTCCTCTGGCCATCGCCCTCTCTGGTAACGCCCATCACTGCAAAGACCCTTTTCCTTCATCGGCGTTTGCTGTTCTTCCTGCCAGTGCGTGTTGCTTTCACTTACACTTGCCACAGCCAGCCTCGTGAGTGCCTAGCCTATTGGATATCACTGTCACCTACACAGGACAGTCATTACCTTTCTATTAATACTTTGTTTTTTAATTTCACATTAATTTCCATATTGTATAAACAACTGGAAAAAACTTGAGCCCCTGCCCCTGTATAATCATGTGCACGTCTCTGTTCTAGCTCTAAGGTGAATCTTCACTGCTCATGTTCTCCTCAGAAGCAGTCACCTCACTCCCCTCAGGTTACTGTACACATGCACCAACTGCCTGCTTCAGGTTTGGATGGAGCTTCATGGTTGTCTTTTGGAGAAATGAGCAGTCAAGTTGTGTTTGAAATTTGATTTTTTTCAGGGGCAAAAGGAGCCTCTGCATTCTTGTCAAATATGTAAATAGCATGTTTTTGCAGGTGCTAAAAACCAGACTCTGAGTGTGTGTGTGTGCGTGTGTGTGTGTGTGTGTGTGTGTGTGTGTGCGTTCAAGTCACATGACATATTTAACCGGATGTAGCTGCAAGACAGAGCCTCGTTGACTCTCCGTTTCAATTTATCTCAAAAGTGAGGACCTCAACCTATATACCAGTTTTTAAATTGTGTTGATAGGCCAAATAAAACCAGAGTTATGATAAATTATGTCCGCGATACTTGTTTTCTGCTTATTTTGATCACGTTCGGCGCTCGATCGCGCTGTATGAGACAGGAAAACATAGCATGCAGACATTAGCGACAGGTCTTACAGGCGGAAAAGGCTTGCCAAAAGAAAAAAAAAACACACCACAACATCTCTCCTATTGGTGGAAAACTTCACCACAACAACCAATCCAAAATTATATGGTGACTGATTGACAAGGGGCGGGAACTTACGTTCTTCCTGCAATATGAGAAGGGAGGGAGGGACTCTCAGCAGGGATGCAGTCTGGGACACGTAGTTGCAAACCTAGCGACTTTGTTGTTAGATTCAATGACTTTTCAGACCCCCTAACGACTTTTTTTTAGAAAGAAAGTGACTTTTATCGACTTCTTCTGGAGTTTAGAGACTCTGACATGAAGCAGGCTTTCCTTACTGAGGAGTTAGCAACGCTGCTAAGGGTGCAGAGCCACACATGCGCTCCGAGCTCTGCATGGGAGACTGAAGCTGACAGAGCTGCAGCAGTTAGCAGGTTTCACCTTCAGAGACCACCAGGGGTTCATGTTGAGGCATTTTAATTTTTTTTTTTTTTGCCATAGACACTGTCAGCACAATCTGCAGTTACACTAACAAAAATGCTGCAAAAAACAAAGAATTATGGAAAAATTACACATGGACTAACATAGAGGAGGATCTACACAAGTTTTTTACATCATGTTTTACATCATGCATCATTTACATCATGTTTTTTTGTAGTGGCATAAATAAAAAGTGACATTTGTGAGACTATACAGTGTTTTGTAAATAATTTTACAAAGAACACCTGGGCCATTGCCTGCATTTTGATGTCAATAGAGGTAAATTACTATGTTCTTTGTTAAAAATTTGCATATGTTTTGAAGTTTACAATTTTTATTTGAAGTTTAAGTTTTAAAAACAGTTCATCACACATATTTGTGGTTTTCACAGTAAAAACGTTACTTTTTTCCACTCGGATTTTATGTTTTGTGTGTGAATTTGGGTCCAATGTGTAAATATAGTATGTCAAAATGATAAAATAACTGTAAATTGACACAGGTGAGGTTGTGCTGAAAAAAATGATACCAGGCAAGGCAAGGTAAAAATTTTGTAAGAGGAAATATAAAGGTAAAATCTAAAGTAGTCAAAAACGGCCAATAGTGACTCACAGACTCCACAGACAAGTCCCTTTGGCGCCACTCAGTGGGCAAAACTACTTTGTCTACTGTAATGTATATTTGGGTCATCTTTGGCGCCCCCTAAAACGTAAACCGTGGGGTGCAGCGTCATGATTTTTACAACTTTGAATGGCCATGGAGTGTAGATTGGCCTGAGCAAATTTGGTGTCAGTGGGACGAAAGCCTTAGGAGAAGTTAGCGAAATTCCAATGTGTGCGAATCGGCAAAAAATGCAAAATAGCCCTTTTACCGTACATTATACAGATACGCGCTCTTTGACTTTTTCGTAGATCTAATTGAGATACACATGATTGTCAATTTTTGTGTCATTTTGCCAAAGCGTACAGGCGTGACAGTCAACAATGTGTATTTTCACCTTAGGGGACAAGAAAAAATGGACTTTTTTCTCCTGCCATGGGGGGGCGCTCTTTTGGGGAGTAAAAATTCCTTCACAAATGTGTTGATGGCTGGACATTGCATCATCCTAGAAAACTTGGAGGCCAGTGAGGACAAAAATAAAAAGTTATAAGACTTTTAAAAATGTGGATTTTTGGGTTATCTTTGGCGCCCCCTAGAACGTAAACCGTGGGGTGCAGCGTCATGATTTGAATAACTTTTAATGGCCATGGGGTGTAATTTGGCCTGAGCAAATGTGGTGCCGGTGGAACGAAAGCCTTCGGAGGAGTTAGCGAAATTCCAATGTGTGCGAATCGGCAAAAAATGCAAAATAGCCCTTTAACCGTACATTAGACAGATACGCGCGGATGGACTTTTTTGTAGATCTTATTGAGATACATGTGTGTGTCAATTTTTGTGTCATTTTGACAAAGCGTACAGGCGTGACACTCAACAATGTGTATTTTCACCTTAGGGGACAAGAAAAAAATGGACTTTTTTCTCCTGCCATGGGGGGGCGCTCTTTTGGGGAGTAAAAATTCCTTCACAAATGTGTTGATGGCTGGACATTGCATCATCCTAGAAAACTTGGAGGCCAGTGAGGGCAAAAATAAAAAGTTATAAGACTTTTAAAAATGTGGATTTTAGGGTTATCTTTGGCGCCCCCTAGAACCTAAACCGTGGGGTGCAGCGTCATGATTTGAATAACTTTTAATGGCCATGGGGTGTAGATTGGCCTGAGCAAATGTGGTGCCGGTGGAACGAAAGCCTTCGGAGGAGTTAGCGAAATTCCAATGTGTGCGGATCGGCAAAAAATGCGAAATAACCCTTTAACCGTACATTTGACAGATACGCCCGCACTGACTTTTTTGTAGATCTTATTGAGATACATGTGTGTGTCAATTTTTGTGTCATTTTGACAAAGCGTACAGGCGTGACAGTCAATAGTGTGAATTTTCACCTTAGGGGGCGCTATGGAGCCATTTTGCATTTTCTTGTTTGGGCGACTTCGGAATATCAAATTTTTTACCAGGCCCGGTCGTCCTGCCAAATTTCCTGAGTTTTCGCCAGTGGGAAGTGGGCCATTTTCCAGTTCAAAGGGGAGGAAAAAGAAGAAAGAAAGAAACAAAGACTAGGGCCCCGTTGGGGCACTGGCGGGCCCGAGCCGTGTCACGCCGCCCCCAGCGCGACCGCCTCCCCCACCCGATCGCGTCACACTCAAGGTCCAAAGATGGTGTGCGCACTTGTTTGTGGTCATTTACCATTATAATGAACGGGAGGCGCAGTTTCTACCAAAACGCTCGCTGCAGAAAAACTCCATGTCCTATTTGAAAAAAGTCTGGACCATGAGTGAGGGCACAAACACAGCTAAGATATATCCAAATGGCAAGTTGCTCCTCCTTTCGCTTTTGCCGAGAGAGCAGTGCGTTTGAGCCATTGAATGATGAACAGGAAAAACTTGACTTTATTCTCCTGCCATGGGGGGGCGCTCTTTTAACGAGAAAAAACTCCTTCACAAATGTGTTGATGGCTGGACATTGCATCATCCTAGAAAACATGGAGGCCAGTGAGGACAAAAATAAAAAGTTATAAGACTTTTAAATATGTGGATTTTACGGTTATCTTTGGCGCCCCCTAGAACCTAAACCGTGGGGTGCAGCGTCATGATTTGAATAACTTTTAATGGCCATGGGGTGTAGATTGGCCTGAGCAAATGTGGTGCCGGTGGAACGAAAGCCTTCGGAGGAGTTAGCGAAATTCCAATGTGTGCGAATCTGCAAAAAATGCGAAATAACCCTTTAACCGTACATTTGACAGATACGTGGCCATTGACTTTTTCGAAGATCTTATTGAAATACACGTGTGTGTAAAATTTTGTGTCAATACGACAAAACATACAGGCGTAGCACTCAACAATGTGTATTTTCACCTTAGTGGACAAGAAAAAATGGACTTTTTTCTCCTGCCATGGGGGGCGCTCTTTTGGCGAGTAAAAATTCCTTCACAAATGTGTTGATGGCTGGACATTGCATCATCCTAGAAAACTTGGAGGCCAGTGGGGACAAAAATAAAAAGTTATAAGACTTTTAAATATGTGGATTTTACGGTTATCTTTGGCGCCCCCTAGAACCTAAACCGTGGGGTGCAGCGTCATGATTTGAATAACTTTTAATGGCCATGGGGTGTAGATTGGCCTGAGCAAATGTGGTGCCGGTGGAACGAAAGCCTTCGGAGGAGTTAGCGAAATTCCAATGTGTGCGGATCGGCAAAAAATGCGGAATAACCCTTTAACTGTACATTTGACAGATACGCGCGCATTGACTTTTTCGTAGATCTTATTGAGATACATGTGTGTGTCAATTTTTTGTGTCATTTTGCCAAAGCGTACAGGTGTTACACTCAACAATGTGTATTTTCACCTTAGGGGACAAGAAAAAATGGACTTTTTTCTCCTGCCATGGGGGGGCGCTCTTTTGGGGAGTAAAAATTTCTTCACAAATGTGTTGATGGCTGGACATTGCATCATCCTAGAAAACTTGGAGGCCAGTGAGGGCAAAAATAAAAAGTTATAAGACTTTTAAATATGTGGATCTTAGGGTTATCTTTGGCGCCCCCTAGAACCTAAACCGTGGGGTGCAGCGTCATGATTTGAATAACTTTTAATGGCCATGGGGTGTAGATTGGCCTGAGCAAATGTGGTGCCGGTGGAACGAAAGCCTTCGGAGGAGTTAGCGAAATTCCAATGTGTGCGGATCGGCAAAAAATGCGAAATAACCCTTTAACCGTACATTTGACAGATACGCCCGCACTGACTTTTTTGTAGATCTTATTGAGATACATGTGTGTGTCAATTTTTGTGTCAATATGACAAAGCGTACAGGCGTGACAGTCAATAGTGTGAATTTTCACCTTAGGGGGCGCTATGGAGCCATTTTGCATTTTCTTGTTTGGGCGACTTCGGAATATCAAATTTTTCACCAGGCCCGGTCGTCCTGCCAAATTTCATGAGTTTTCGCCAGTGGGAAGTGGGCCATTTTCCAGTTCAAAGGGGAGGAAAAATAATAATAACTAGGGCCCCGGTGGGGCACTGTCGGGCCCGAGCCGCATCGCACCGCCCCCAGCGCGACCGCCTGGTGTGCACTTGTCTGTGGTCATTTCCCATTATAATGAATGGGGGGCGCAGTTTCTACCAAAACACTCGCTGCAGACAAACTACATGTCCTATTTGAAAAAAGTCTGGACCATGAGTGAGGGCACAAACACAGCTAGGATATATCCAAACGGCAAGTTGCTCCTCGTTACGGTGTTGCCGGGAGAGCGATGCGATTGAGCCATTGAGTGATGGGCAGGAAAAACTTGACTGTTTCTCCTGCCATGGGGGGTGGGGGATGGGGGGGATGTGGATTCTTTTAAGAATGTGGATATTTGGGTCATCTTTGGCGCCCCCTAGAACGTAAACCGTGGGGTGCAGCGTCATGATTTTTACAACTTTGAATGGCCATGGGGTGTAGATTGGCCTGAGCAAATTTGGTGTCAGTGGGACGAAAGCCTTAGGAGGAGTTAGCCACATTCCAATGTGTGCGAATCGGCAAAAAATGCAAAATAGCCCTTTAACCGTACATTTGACAGATACGCGCGCATTGACTTTTTTGTAGATCTTATTGAGATACATATGTTTGTCAATTTTTGTGTCAATATGATAAAGCGTACAGGCGTGACAGTCAATAGTGTGAATTTCCACCTTAGGGGACAAGAAAAAATTGACTTTTTTCTCCTGCCATGGGGGGGCGCTCTTTTGGGGAGTAAAAATTCCTTCACAAATGTGTTGATGGCTGGACATTGCATCATCCTAGAAAACTTGGAGGCCAGTGAGGACAAAAATAAAAAGTTATAAGACTTTTAAGACTGTGGATTTTAGGGTTATCTTTGGCGCCCCCTAGAACCTAAACCGTGGGGTGCAGCGTCATGATTTGAATAACTTTTAATGGCCATGGGGTGTAGATTGGCCTGAGCAAATGTGGTGCCGGTGGAACGAAAGCCTTCGGAGGAGTTAGCGAAATTCCAATGTGTGCGGATCGGCAAAAAATGCGGAATAACCCTTTAACCGTACATTTGACAGATACGCGCGCATTGACTTTTTCGTAGATCTTATTGAGATACATGTGTGTGTCAATTTTTGTGTCATTTTGCCAAAGCGTACAGGTGTTACACTCAACAATGTGTATTTTCACCTTAGGGGACAAGAAAAAATGGACTTTTTTCTCCTGCCATGGGGGGGCGCTCTTTTGGGGAGTAAAAATTCCTTCACAAATGTGTTGATGGCTGGACATTGCATCATCCTAGAAAACTTGGAGGCCAGTGAGGGCAAAAATAAAAAGTTATTAGACTTTTAAATATGTGGATCTTAGGGTGATCTTTGGCGCCCCCTAGAACCTAAACCGTGGGGTGCAGCGTCATGATTTGAATAACTTTTAATGGCCATGGGGTGTAGATTGGCCTGAGCAAATGTGGTGCCGGTGGAACGAAAGCCTTCGGAGGAGTTAGCGAAATTCCAATGTGTGCGGATCGGCAAAAAATGCGAAATAACCCTTTAACCGTACATTTGACAGATACGCCCGCACTGACTTTTTTGTAGATCTTATTGAGATACATGTGTGTGTCAATTTTTGTGTCATTTTGACAAAGCGTACAGGCGTGACAGTCAATAGTGTGAATTTTCACCTTAGGGGGCGCTATGGAGCCATTTTGCATTTTCTTGTTTGGGCGACTTCGGAATATCAAATTTTTCACCAGGCCCGGTCGTCCTGCCAAATTTCATGAGTTTTCGCCAGTGGGAAGTGGGCCATTTTCCAGTTCAAAGGGGAGGAAAAATAATAACTAGGGCCCCGTTGGGGCACTGGCGGGCCCGAGCTGTGTCGCGCCGCCCCCAACGCGACCGCCTCTCCCTTCCGATTGCGTCACACTCAAGGTCCAAAAATGGTGTGCGCACTTGTCTGTGGTCATTTACCATTATAATGAATGGGAGGCGCAGTTTCTACCAAAACGCTCGCTGCAGACAAACTACATGTCCTATTTGAAAAAAGTCTGGACCATGAGTGAGGGCACAAACACAGCTAGGATATATCCAAATGGCAAGTTGCTCCTCCTTTCGGTTTTGCCGAGAGAGCGATGTGTTTGAGCCATTGAGCGATGGGCAGGAAAAACTTGACTTTTTCTCCTGCCAGGGGGGGGGGGGGGCGCTCTTTTGGGGAGTAAAAATTCCTTCACAAATGTGTTGATGGCTGGACATTGCATCATCCAAGAAAACTTGGAGGCCAGTGAGGACAAAAATAAAAAGTTATAAGACTTATAAATATGTGGATTTTAGGGTTATCTTTGGCGCCCCCTAGAACCTAAACCGTGGGGTGCAGCGTCATGATTTGAATAACTTTGAATGGCCATGGGGTGTAGATTGGCCTGAGCAAATGTGGTGCCGGTGGAACGAAAGCCTTCGGAGGAGTTAGCGAAATTCCAATGTGTGCATATCGGCAAAAAATGCAAAATAACCCTTTAACCGTACATTTGACAGATACGCGCACATTGACTTTTTCGTAGATCTTATTGAGATACATGTGTGTGTCAATTTTTGTGTCATTTTGCCAAAGCGTACAGGCGTGACACTCAACAATGTGTATTTTCACCTTAGGGGACAAGAAAAAATTGACTTTTTTCTCCTGCCATGGGGGGGGCGCTCTTTTGGGGAGTAAAAATTCCTTCACAAATGTGTTGATGGCTGGACATTGCATCATCCAAGAAAACTTGGAGGCCAGTGAGGACAAAAATAAAAAGTTATAAGACTTATAAATATGTGGATTTTAGGGTTATCTTTGGCGCCCCCTAGAACCTAAACCGTGGGGTGCAGCGTCATGATTTGAATAACTTTGAATGGCCATGGGGTGTAGATTGGCCTGAGCAAATGTGGTGCCGGTGGAACGAAAGCCTTCGGAGGAGTTAGCGAAATTCCAATGTGTGCGGATCGGCAAAAAATGCAAAATAACCCTTTAACCGTACATTTGACAGATACGCGCGCATTGACTTTTTCGTAGATCTTATTGAGATACATGTGTGTGTCAATTTTTGTGTCATTTTGCCAAAGCGTACAGGCGTGACACTCAACAATGTGTATTTTCACCTTAGGGGACAAGAAAAAATGGACTTTTTTCTCCTGCCATGGGGGGGCGCTCTTTTGGGGAGTAAAAATTCCTTCACAGATGTGTTGATGGCTGGACATTGCATCATCCTAGAAAACTTGGAGGCCAGTGAGGACAAAAATAAAAAGTTATAAGACTTTTAAATTTGTGGATTTTAGGGTTATTTTTGGCGCCCCCTAGAACCTAAACCGTGGGGTGCAGCGTCATGATTTGAATAACTTTTAATGGCCATGGGGTGTAGATTGGCCTGAGCAAAATTGTTGCCGGTGGAACGAAAGCCTTCGGAGGAGTTAGCGAAATTCCAATGTGTGCGGATCGGCAAAAAATGCGAAATTGCCCTTTAACCGTACATTTTACAGATACGCGCCCTTTGACTTTTTCGTAGATCTTATTGAGATACACGTGATTGTCAAATTTTTGTGTCAATATGACAAAACATACAGGCGTAGCACTCAACAATGTGTATTTTCACCTTAGTGGACCAGAAAAAATTGACTTTTTTCTCCTGCCATGGGGGGGCGCTCTTTTGGGGAGTAAAAATTACTTCACAAATGTGTTGATGGCTGGACATTGCATCATCCTAGAAAACTTGGAGGCCAGTGGGGACAAAAATAAAAAGTTATAAGACTTTTAAATATGTGGATTTTAGGGTTATCTTTGGCGCCCCCTAGAACCTAAACCGTGGGGTGCAGCGTCATGATTTGAATAACTTTTAATGGCCATGGGGTGTAGATTGACCTGAGCAAATGTTGTGCCGATGGAACGAAAGTCTTCAGAGGAGTTAGCGAAATTCCGATGTGTGTGGATCGGCAAAAAATGCGAAATAAACCTTTAACCGTAAATTTGACAGATACGCCCGCACTGACTTTTTCGTAGATCTTATTGAGATACATGTGTGTGTCAATTTTTGTGTCATTTTGCCAAAGCGTAAAGGCGTGACAGTCAATAGTGTGAATTTTAACCTTAGGGGGCGCTATGGAGCCATTTTGCATTTTATTGTTTGGGCGACTTCAGAATATCAAATTTTTCACCAGGCCCGGTCGTCCTGCCAAATTTCATGAGTTTTCGCCAGTGGGAAGTGGGCCATTTTCCAGTTCAAAGGGGAGGAAAAATAATAATAATAACAAAAGAAGGAAACATGCAGGAACAAGAGGGCTCTCGCAGCTGCTTAGCAGCTACGCTCGGGCCCTAATAATAACAAAAGAAGGAAACTACAGGAACAAGAGGGCTCTCGCAGCTGCTTAGCAGCTACGCTCGGGCCCTAATAACAAAAGAAGGAAACTACAGGAACAAGAGGGCTCTCGCAGCTGCTTAGCAGCTACGCTCGGGCCCTAACTAGGGCCCCGTTGGGGCACTGGCGGGCCCGAGCCGCGTTGCGCCGCCCCCAGTGCGACCGCCTCCCCCTCCCGATCGCGTCACACTCAAGGTCCAAAGATGGTGTGCGCACTTGTCTGTGGTCATTTCCCATTATAATGAATGGGAGGCGCAGTTTCTACCAAAACACTCGCTGCAGACAAACTACATGTCCTATTTGAAAAAAGTCTGGACCATGAGTGAGGGCACAAACACAGCTAGGATATATCCAAACGGCAAGTTGCTCCTCGTTACGGTGTTGCCGGGAGAGCGATGCGATTGAGCCATTGAGTGATGGGCAGGAAAAACTTGACTGTTTCTCCTGCCATGGGGGATGGGGGATGGGAGGGGGGGGGGAAAGGGATGTGGATTCTTTTAAGAATGTGGATATTTGGGTCATCTTTGGCGCCCCCTAGAACGTAAACCGTGGGGTGCAGCGTCATGATTTTTAAAACTTTGAATGGCCATGGGGTGTAGATTGGCCTGAGCAAATTTGGTGTCAGTGGGACGAAAGCCTTAGGAGGAGTTAGCCACATTCCAATGTGTGCTAATCAGCAAAAAATGCAAAATAGCCCTTTAACCGTACATTTTACAGATACGCGCGCATTGACTTTTTCGTAGATCTTATTGAGATACATGTGTGTGTCAAATTTTGTGTCAATATGACAAAGCATACAGGTATGACAGTCAACAATGTGTATTTTCACCTTATGGGACAAGAAAAAATGGACTTTTTTCTCCTGCCATGGGGGGGCGCTCTTTTAGGGAGTAAAAATTCCTTCACAAATGTGTTGATGGCTGGACATTGCATCATCCTAGAAAACTTGGAGGCCAGAGAGGACAAAAATAAAAAGTTATAAGACTTTTAAATATGTGGATTTTAGGGTTATCTTTGGCGCCCCCTAGAACCTAAACCGTGGGGTGCAGCGTCATGATTTGAATAACTTTTAATGGCCATGGGGTGTAGATTGGCCTGAGCAAATGTGGTGCCGGTGGAACGAAAGCCTTCGGAGGAGTTAGCGAAATTCCAATGTGTGCGGATCGGCAAAAAATGCGCAATAACCCTTTAACCGTACATTTGACAGATACGCCCGCACTGACTTTTTTGTAGATCTTATTGAGATACATGTGTGTGTCAATTTTTGTGTAATTTTGACAAAGCGTACAGGCGTGACAGTCAATAGTGTGAATTTTCACCTTATGGAACAAGAAAAAATGGACTTTTTTCTCCTGCCATGGGGGGGCGCTCTTTTGGGGAGTAAAAATTCCTTCACAAATGTGTTGATGGCTGGACATTGCATCATCCTAGAAAACTTGGAGGCCAGTGAGGGCAAAAATAAAAAGTTATAAGACTTTGAAATATGTGGATTTTAGGGTTATCTTTGGCGCCCCCTAGAACATAAACCGTGGGGTGCAGCGTCATGATTTGAATAACTTTTAATGGCCATGGGGTGTAGATTGGCCTGAGCAAATGTGGTGCCGGTGGAACGAAAGCCTTCGGAGGAGTTAGCGAAATTCCAATGTGTGCGGATCGGCAAAAAATGCGAAATAACCCTTTAACCGTACATTTGACAGATACGCCCGCACTGACTTTTTTGTAGATCTTATTGAGATACATGTGTGTGTCAATTTTTGTGTCATTTTGACAAAGCGTACAGGCGTCAGGTGAATTTTTCACCTTAGGGGGCGCTATGGAGCCATTTTGCATTGTATTGTTTGGGCGACTTCAGAATATCAAATTTTTCACCAGGCCCGGTCGTCCTGCCAAATTTCATGAGTTTTCGCCAGTGGGAAGTGGGCCATTTTCCAGTTCAAAGGGGAGGAAAAATAATAACTAGGACCCCGTTGGGGCACTGTCGGGCCCGAGCCGTGTCGCGCCGCCCCCAGTGCGACCGCCTCCCCCTCCCGATCGCGTCACACTCAAGATCCAAAGATGGTGTGCGCACTTGTCTGTGGTCATTTCCTATTATAATGAATGGGAGGCGCAGTTTCTACCAAAACACTCGCTGCAGACAAACTTCATGTCCTATTTGAAAAAAGTCTGGACCATGAGTGAGGGCACAAACACAGCTATGATATATCGAAATGGCAGGTTGCTCCTCCTTACGGTGTTGCCTGGAGAGCGATGCGATTGAGCCATTGAGCGATGGGCAGGAAAAAACTTTTTCTCCTGCCATATGGGGGGGGGGGGGGGATGTGGATTCTTTGAAATATGTGGATTTTTGGGTCATCTTTGGCGCCCCCTAGAACGTAAACCGTGGGGTGCAGCGTCATGATTTTTACAACTTCGAATGGCCATGGGGTGTAGATTGGCCTGAGCAAATTTGGTGTCAGTGGGACGAAAGCCTTAGGAGGAGTTAGCCACATTCCAATGTGTGCGAATCGGCAAAAAATGCAAAATAGCCCTTTAACCGTACATTTGACAGATACGCGCTAATCGACTCTTTTGTAGATCTTATTGAGATACATATGTGTGTCAATTTTTGTGTCAATATGATAAAGCGTACAGGCGTGACAGTCAATAGTGTGAATTTCCACCTTAGGGGACAAGAAAAAATTGGCTTTTTTTTCCTGCCATGGGGGGGCGCTCTTTTGGGGAGTAAAAATTCCTTCACAAATGTGTTGATGGCTGGACATTGCATCATCCTAGAAAACTTGGAGGCCAGTGAGGACAAAAATAAAAAGTTATAAGACTTTTAAATATGTGGATTTTAGGGTTATCTTTGGCGCCCCCTAGAACCTAAACCGTGGGATGCAGCGTCATGATTTGAATAACTTTTAATGGCCATGGGGTGTAGATTGGCCTGAGCAAATGTGGTACCGGTGGAATGAAAGCCTTCGGAGGAGTTAGCGAAATTCCAATGTGTGCGGATCGGCAAAAAATGCGGAATAACCCTTTAACCGTACATTTGACAGATACGCGCGCATGGACTTTTTCGTAGATCTTATTGAGATACATGTGTGTGTCAATTTTTGTGTCATTTTGCCAAAGCGTACAGGTGTTACACTCAACAATGTGTATTTTCGCCTTAGGGGACAAGAAAAAATGGACTTTTTTCTCCTGCCATGGGGGGGCGCTCTTTTGGGGAGTAAAAATTCCTTCACAAATGTGTTGATGGCTGGACATTGCATCATCCTAGAAAACTTGGAGGCCAGTGAGGGCAAAAATAAAAAGTTATAAGACTTTTAAATATGTGGATCTTAGGGTTATCTTTGGCGCCCCCTAGAACCTAAACCGTGGGGTGCAGCGTCATGATTTGAATAACTTTTAATGGCCATGGGGTGTAGATTGGCCTGAGCAAATGTGGTGCCGGTGGAACGAAAGCCTTCGGAGGAGTTAGCGAAATTCCAATGTGTGCGGATCGGCAAAAAATGCGAAATAACCCTTTAACCGTACATTTGACAGATACGCCCGCACTGACTTTTTTGTAGATCTTATTGAGATACATGTGTGTGTCAATTTTTGTGTCATTTTGACAAAGCGTACAGGCGTGACAGTCAATAGTGTGAATTTTCACCTTAGGGGGCGCTATGGAGCCATTTTGCATTTTCTTGTTTGGGCGACTTCGGAATATCAAATTTTTCACCAGGCCCGGTCGTCCTGCCAAATTTCATGAGTTTTCGCCAGTGGGAAGTGGGCCATTTTCCAGTTCAAAGGGGAGGAAAAATAATAACTAGGGCCCCGTTGGGGCACTGGCGGGCCCGAGCCATGTCGCACCCCCCCCCCCCCCCCAACGCGCTGCCTCCCCGTCCCATTCGTGTCCTCTGGCCATCGCCCTCTCTGGTAACGCCCATCACTGCAAAGACCCTTTTCCTTCATCGGCGTTTGCTGTTCTTCCTGTCAGTGCGTGTTGCTTTCACTTACACTTGCCACAGCCAGCCTCGTGAGTGCCTAGCCTATTGGATATCAGTGTCACCTACACAGGACAGTCATACTTTGTTTTTTAATTTCACATTAATTTCCATATTGTATAAACGACTGGAAAAAACTTGAGCCCCTGCCCCTGTATTATCATGTGCACGTCCCTGTTCTAGCTCCAAGGTGAATCTTCACTGCTCATGTTCTCCTCAGAAGCAGTCACCTCACTCCCCTCAGGTTACTGTACACATGCACCAACTGCCTGCTTCAGGTTTGGATGGAGCTTCATGGTTGTCTTTTGGAGAAATGAGCAGTCAAGTTGTGTTTGAAATTTGATTTTTTTCAGGGGCAAAAGGAAGCCTCTGCATTCTTGTCAAATATGTAAATAGCATGTTTTTGCAGGTGCTAAAAAACAGACTCTGAGTGTGTGTGTGTGTGTGTGTGTGTGTGTGTGTGTGTGTGTGTGTGTGCGTGCGTGTGTGTGTGTGTGTGTGTGTGTCTGTGTGTGTGTGTGTGTGTATCCTGCAGTACTCTGAGAAGAATAATAAGCATATTTCTGAGGTGAATTTTAAAGATTCAACTGAGAGTTAGGTTTGATTCGATTCGATTGACGCTCCCCAGCGTTCAAGTCACATGACATATTTAACCGGATGTAGCTGCAAGACAGAGCCTCGTTAACTCTCCGTTTCAACTTATCTCCAAAGTGAGGACCTCAACCTATATACCGGTTTTTAAATTGTGTTGATAGGCCAAATAAAACCAGAGTTATGATAAATTATGTCCGCGATACTTTTTTTCTGCTCATTTTGATCACGTTCGGCGCTCGATCGCGCTGTATGAGACAGGAAAACATAGCATGCACACATTAGCGACAGGTCTTACAGGCGGAAAAGGCTTGCCAAAAGAAAAAAAAAACACACCACAACATCTCTCCTATTGGTGGAAAACTTCACCACAACAACCAATCCAAAATTATATGGTGACTGATTGACAAGGGGCGGGTGCTTACGTTCTTCCTGCAACATGAGAAGGGAGGGAGGGACTCTCAGCAGGGATGCAGTCTGGAACACGTAGTTGCAAACCTAGCGACTTTGTTGTTAGATTCAATTACTTTTCAGACCCCCTAACGACTTTTTTTAGAAAGAAAGGGACTTTTATCGACTTCTTCTGGAGTTTAGAGACTCTGACATGAAGCAGGCTTTCCTTACTGAGGAGTTAGCAACGCTGCTAAGGGTGCAGAGCCACACATGCGCTCCGAGCTCTGCATGGGAGACTGAAGCTGACAGAGCTGCAGCAGTTAGCAGGTTTCACCCTCAGAGACCACCAGGGGTTCATGTTGAGGCATTTTCAGTTTTTTTTTTTGTTGCCATAGACTGTCAGCACAATCTGCAGTTACACTAACAAAAATGCTGCAAAAAACAAAGAATTATGGAAAAATTACACATGGACTGACATAGAGGAGGATCTACACAAGTTTTTTACATCATGTTTTACATCATGCATCATTTACATCATGTTTTTTTGTAGTGGCATAAATAAAAAGTGACATTTGTGAGACTATACAGTGTTTTGTAAATAATTTTACAAAGAACGCCTGGGCCATTGCCTGCATTTTGATGTAAATAGAGGTAAATTACTATGTTCTTTGTTAAAAATTTGCATATGTTTTGAAGTTTACAATTTTTATTTGAAGTTTAAGTTTTAAAAACAGTTCATCACACATATTTGTGGTTTAATTTCACATTAATTTCCATATTGTATAAATGACTGGAAAAAACTTGAGCCCCTGCCCCTGTGTAATCATGTGCACGTCCCTGTTCTAGCTCCAAGGTGAATCTTCACTGCTCATGTTCTTCTCAGAAATAGTCACCTCACTCCCCTCAGGTTACTGTACACATGCACAAACTATCTGCTTCAGGTTTGGATGGAGCTTCATGGTTGTCTTTTGGAGAAATGAACAGTCAAGTTGTGTTTGAAATCTGATTTTTTTCAGGGGCAAAAGGAAGCCTCTGCATTCTTGTCAAATATGTAAACAGCATGTTTTTGCAGGTGCTAAAAAACAGACTCTGAGTGTGTGTGTGTGTGTGTGTGTGTGTGTGTGTGTGTGTGTGTGTGTGTGTGTGTATGTGTGTGTATCCTGCAGTACTCTGTACTCCTGCAGTGGCCAAAAAGACTTTTAAGAATGTGGATTTTTGGGTAATCTTTGGCGCCCCCTAGAACTGCAGTACTCTGTACTCCTGCAGTGGCCAAAATGACTTTTAAGAATGTGGATTTTTGGGTCATCTTTGGCGCCCCCTAGAACGTAAACCGTGGGGTGCAGCGTCATGATTTTTACAACTTTGAATGGGCATGGGGTGTAGATTGCCCTGAGCAAATTTGGTATCGGTGGGACGAAAGCCTTAGGAGGAGATAGCCACATTCCAATGTGTGCGAATCGGCAAAAAATGCGAAATAGCCCTTTAACCGTACATTATACAGATACGCGCTTTTTGACTTTTTCGTAGATCTAATTGAGATACACATGATTGTCAATTTTTGTGTCAATATGATAAAGCGTACAGGCGTGACACTCAACAATGTGTATTTTCATGTAAGGGGACAAGAAAAAATTGACTTTTTTCTCCTGCCATGGGGGGGCGCTCTTTTGGGGAGTAAAAATTCCTTCACAAATGTGTTGATGGCTGGACATTGCATCATCCTAGAAAACTTGGAGGGCAGTGAGGACAAAAATAAAAAGTTATAAGACTTTTAAATATGTGGATTTTGGGTTATCTTTGGCGCCCCCTAGAACGTAAACCGTGGGGTGCAGCGTCATGATTTGTACAACTTTTAATGGCCATGGGGGGTAGATTGGCCTGCGCAAATGTGGTGCCGGTCGAACGAAAGCCTTCGGAGGAGTTAGCGAAATTCCAATGTGTGCAGATCTGCAAAAAATGCAAAATAACCCATTAACCGTACATTTGACAGATACGCCCGCACTGACTTTTTTGTAGATCTTATTGAGATACATGTGTGTGTCAATTTTTGTGTCAATATGACAAAGCGTACAGCCGTCATGTGAATTTTCACCTTAGGGGGCGCTATGGAGCCATTTTGCATTTTATTGTTTGGGCGACTTCAGAATATCGAATTTTTCACCAGGCCCGGTCGTCCTGCCAAATTTCCTGAGTTTTCGCCAGTGGGAAGTGGGCCATTTTCCAGTTTAAAGCGGAGGAAAAATAATAACGAAAGAAGGAAACATGCAGGAACAAGAGGGCTCTCGCAGCTGCTTAGCAGCTACGCTCGGGCCCTAATAACAAAAGAAGGAAACTACAGGAACAAGAGGGCTCTCGCAGCTGCTTAGCAGCTACGCTCGGGCCCTAACTAGGACCCCGTTGGGGCACTGGCGGGCCCGAGCCGTGTCGCGTCCCCCCCCCCAACGTGCTGCCTCCCCGTCCCATTTGTGTCCTCTGGCCATCGCCCTCTCTGGTAACGCCCATCACTGCAAAGACCCTTTTCCTTCATCGGCGTTTGCTGTTCTTCCTGCCAGTGCGTGTTGCTTTCACTTACACTTGCCACAGCCAGCCTCGTGAGTGCCTAGCCTATTGGATATCACTGTCACCTACCGAGACAGTCATTACCTTTCTATTAATACTTTGTGTTTTAATTTCACATTAATTTCCATATTGTATAAACGACTGGAAAAAACTTGAGCCCCTGCCCCTGTATAATCATGTGCATGTCTCTGTTCTAGCTCCAAGGTGAATCTTCACTGCTCATGTTCTCCTCAGAAGCACTCACCTCACTCCCCTCAGGTTACTGTACACATGCACCAACTGCCTGCTTCAGGTTTGGATGGAGCTTCATGGTTGTCTTTTGGAGAAATGACCAGTCAAGTTGTGTTTGAAATTTGATTTTTTTCAGGGGCAAAAGGAGCCTCTGCATTCTTGTCAAATATGTAAATAGCATGTTTTTGCAGGTGCTAAAAACCAGACTCTGAGTGTGTGTGTGTGTGTGTGTGTGTGTGTGTGTGTGTGTGTGTGTGTGTGTGTGTGTGTGTGTGTGCGTGTGTGTGTCTGTGTGTGCGTTCAAGTCACATGACATATTTAACCGGATGTAGCTGCAAGACGGAGCCTCGTTGACTCTCCGTTTCAACTTATCTCAAAAGTGAGGACCTCAACCTATATACCAGTTTTTAAATTGTGTTGATAGGCCAAATAAAACCAGAGTTATGATAAATTATGTCCGCGATACTTTTTTTCTGCTTATTTTGATCACGTTCGGCGCTCGATCGCGCTGTATGAGACAGGAAAACATAGCATGCAGACATTAGCGACAGCTCTTACAGGCGGAAAAGGCTTGCCAAAAGAAAAAAAAAACACACCACAACATCTCTCCTATTGGTGGAAAACTTCACCACAACAACCAATCCAAAATTATATGGTGACTGATTGACAAGGGGCGGGCGCTTACGTTCTTCCTGCAACATGAGAAGGGAGGGAGGGACTCTCAGCAGGGATGCAGTCTGGGACACGTAGTTGCAAACCTAGCGACTTTGTTGTTAGATTCAATGACTTTTCAGACCCCCTAACGACTTTTTTTTAGAAAGAAAGGGACTTTTATCGACTTCTTCTGGAGTTTAGAGACTCTGACATGAAGCAGGCTTTCCTTACTGAGGAGTTAGCAACGCTGCTAAGGGTGCAGAGCCACACATGCGCTCAGAGCTCTGCATGGGAGACTGAAGCTGACAGAGCTGCAGCAGTTAGCAGGTTTCACCCTCAGAGACCACCAGGGGTTCATGTTGAGGCATTTTAATTTTTTTTTTTTTTGTGCCATAGACACTGTCAGCACAATCTGCAGTTACACTAACAAAAATGCTGCAAAAAACAAAGAATTATGGAAAAATTACACATGGACTGACATACAGGAGGATCTACACAAGTTTTTTACATCATGTTTTACATCATGCATCATTTACATCATGTTTTTTTGTAGTGGCATAAATAAAAAGTGACATTTGTGAGACTATACAGTGTTTTGTAAATAATTTTACAAAGAACGCCTGGGCCATTGCCTGCATTTTGATGTAAATAGAGGTAAATCACTATGTTCTTTGTTAAAAATTTGCATATGTTTTGAAGTTTACAATTTTTATTTGAAGTTTAAGTTTTAAAAACAGTTCATCACACATATTTGTGGTTTTCACAGTAAAAATGTTACTTTTTTCCACTGGGATTTTATGTTTTGTGTGTGAATTTGGGTCCATTGTGTAAATTCAGTATGTCAACATGATAAAATAACTGTAAATTCGCACAGGTGAGGTTGTGCTGAAAAAAATGATACCAGGCAAGGCACGTGATTGTCAAATTTTGTGTCAATATGACAAAGCGTATAGGCGTGAATCTCAACAATGTGTTTTTTCACCTTATGGGACAAGAAAAAATGGACTTTTTTCTCCTGCCATGGGGGGGCGCTCTTTTGGGGAGTAAAAATTCCTTCACAAATGTGTTGATGGCTGGACATTGCATCATCCTAGAAAACTTGGAGGCCAGTGAGGACAAAAATAAAAAGTTATAAGACTTTGAAATATGTGGATTTTAGGGTTATCTTTGGCGCCCCCTAGAACCTAAACCGTGGGGTGCAGCGTCATGATTTGAATAACTTTTAATGGCCATGGGGTGTAGATTGGCCTGAGCAAATGTGGTGCCGGTGGAACGCCAGCCTTAGGAGGAGTTAGCGAAATTCCAATGTGTGCGGATCAGCAAAAAATGCGGAATAACCCTTTAACCGTACATTTGACAGATATGCGCGCATTGACTTTTTCGTAGATCTTATTGAGATACATGTGTGTGTCAAATTTTGTGTCAATATGACAAAGCGTACAGGCGTGACACTCAACAATGTGTATTTTCACCTTAGGGGACAAGAAAAAATGGACTTTTTTCTCCTGCCATGGGGGGGCGCTCTTTTGGGGTATTAAAAATTCCTTCACAAATGTGTTGATGGCTGGACATTGCATCATCCTAGAAAACTTGGAGGCCAGTGAGGTCAAAAATAAAAAGTTATAAGACTTTTAAATATGTGGATTTTAGGGTTATCTTTGGCGCCCCCTAGAACCTAAACCGTGGGGTGCAGCGTCATGATTTGAATAACTTTTAATGGCCATGGGGTGTAGATTGGCCTGAGCAAATGTGGTGCCGGTGGAACGAAAGCCTTCGGAGGAGTTAGCGAAATTCCAATGTGTGCGGGTCGGCAAAAAATGCGCAATAACCCTTTAACCGTACATTTGACAGATACGCCCGCACTGACTTTTTTGTAGATCTTATTGAGATACATGTGTGTGTCAATTTTTGTGTCAATATGACAAAGCGTAAAGGCGTGACAGTCAATAGTGTGAATTTTCACCTTAGGGGGCGCTATGGAGCCATTTTGCATTTTCTTGTTTGGGCGACTTCGGAATATCAAATTTTTCACCAGGCCCGGTCATCCTGCCAAATTTCATGAGTTTTCGCCAGTGGGAAGTGGGCCATTTTCCAGTTCAAAGGGGAGGAAAAAGAAGAAACTAGGGCCCCGTTAGGGCACTGGCGGGCCCGAGCCGTGTTGCGCCGCCCCCAGCGCGACCGCCTACCCCTCTTGATCGCGTCACACTCAAGGTCCAAAGATGGTGTGCGCACTTGTCTGTGGTCATTTACCATTATAATGAATGGGAGGCGCAGTTTCTACCAAAACGCTCGCTGCAGACAAACTCCATGTCCTTTTTGAAAAAAGTCTGGACCATGAGTGAGGGCACAAACAGAGCTAGTATATATCCAAATGGCAAGTTGCTCCTCCTTTCGGTTTTGCCGAGAGAGCGATGCTTTTGAGCCATTGAGCGATGGGCAGGAAAAACTTGACTTTTTCTCCTGCCATGGGGGGGCGCTCTTTTGGGGAGAAAAAATTCCTTCACAAATGTGTTGATGGCTGGACATTGCATCATCCTAGAAAACTTGGAGGCCAGTGAGGACAAAAATAAAAAGTTATAAGACTTTTAAAAATGTGGATATTTGGGTCCTCTTTGGCACCCCCTAGAACGTAAACCGTGGGGTGCAGCGTCATGATTTGTACAACTTTGAATGGCCATGGGGTGTAGATTGACCTGAGCAAATTTGAAGCCGATGGGAAAAAAGCTTTAGGAGGAGTTAGCCACATTCCAATGTGTGCGAATCGGCAAAAAATGCGAAATAGCCCTTTAACCGTACATTGAACAGATACGCTCGCATTGACTTTTTCGTAGATCTTATTGAGATACATGTGTGTGTCAAATTTTGTGTCATTTTGACAAAGCGTAAAGGCGTGACAGTCAACAATGTGTATTTTCGCCTTAGGAGACAAGAAAAAATGGACTTTTTTCTCCTGCCATGGGGGGCGCTCTTTTGGCGAGTAAAAATTCCTTCACAAATGTGTTGATGGCTGGACATTGCATCATCCTAGAGAACTTGGAGGCCAGTGAGGACAAAAATAAAAAGTTATAAGACTTTTAAGACTGTGGATTTTTGGGTTATCTTTGGCGCCCCCTAGAACGTAAACCGTGGGGTGCAGCGTCATGATTTGTACAACTTTTAATGGCCATGGGGTGTAGATTGGCCTGAGCAAATGTGGTGCCGGTGGAACGAAAGCCTTCGGAGGAGTTAGCGAAATTCCAATGTGTGCGGATCGGCAAAAAATGCGGAATAACCCTTTAACCGTACATTTGACAGATACGCGCGCATTGACTTTTTCGTAGATCTTATTGAGATACATGTGTGTGTCAATTTTTGTGTCATTTTGCCAAAGCGTACAGGTGTTACACTCAACAATGTGTATTTTCACCTTAGGGGACAAGAAAAAATGGACTTTTTTCTCCTGCCATGGGGGGGCGCTCTTTTGGGGAGTAAAAATTCCTTCACAAATGTGTTGATGGCTGGACATTGCATCATCCTAGAAAACTTGGAGGCCAGTGAGGGCAAAAATAAAAAGTTATAAGACTTTTAAATATGTGGATCTTAGGGTTATCTTTGGCGCCCCCTAGAACCTAAACCGTGGGGTGCAGCGTCATGATTTGAATAACTTTTAATGGCCATGGGGTGTAGATTGGCCTGAGCAAATGTGGTGCCGGTGGAACGAAAGCCTTCGGAGGAGTTAGCGAAATTCCAATGTGTGCGGATCGGCAAAAAATGCGAAATAACCCTTTAACCGTACATTTGACAGATACGCCCGCACTGACTTTTTTGTAGATCTTATTGAGATACATGTGTGTGTCAATTTTTGTGTCATTTTGACAAAGCGTACCGGCGTGACAGTGAATAGTGTGAATTTTCACCTTAGGGGGCGCTATGGAGCCATTTTGCATTTTCTTGTTTGGGCGACTTCGGAATATCAAATTTTTCACCAGGCCCGGTCGTCCTGCCAAATTTCATGAGTTTTCGCCAGTGGGAAGTGGGCCATTTTCCAGTTCAAAGGGGAGGAAAAATAATAATAATAATAATAACAAAAGAAGGAAACTACAGGAACAAGAGGGCTCTCGCAGCTGCTTAGCAGCTACGCTCGGGCCCTAAGAAAGAAACAAAGAACTAGGACCCCGTTGGGGCACTGGCGGGCCCGAGCCGTGTCGCCCCCCCCCCCCCCCCCAACGCGCTGCCTCCCCGTCCCATTTGTGTCCTCTGGCCATCGCCCTCTCTGGTAACGCCCATCACTGCAAAGACCCTTTTCCTTCATCGGCGTTTGCTGTTCTTCCTGCCAGTGCGTGTTGCTTTCACTTACACTTGCCACAGCCAGCCTCGTGAGTGCCTAGCCTATTCGATATCACTGTCGCCTACACAGGACAGTCATTACCTTTCTATTAATACTTTGTGTTTTAATTTCACATTAATTTCCATATTGTATAAACGACTGGAAAAAACTTGAGCCCCTGCCCCTGTATAATCATGTGCATGTCTCTGTTCTAGCTCCAAGGTGAATCTTCACTGCTCATGTTCTCCTCAGAAGCACTCACCTCACTCCCCTCAGGTTACTGTACACATGCACCAACTGCCTGCTTCAGGTTTGGATGGAGCTTCATGGTTGTCTTTTGGAGAAATGACCAGTCAAGTTGTGTTTGAAATTTGATTTTTTTCAGGGGCAAAAGGAGCCTCTGCATTCTTGTCAAATATGTAAATAGCATGTTTTTGCAGGTGCTAAAAACCAGACTCTGAGTGTGTGTGTGTGTGTGTGTGTGTGTGTTTGGTGTGTGTGTGTGTGTCTGTGTGTGCGTTCAAGTCACATGACATATTTAACCGGATGTAGCTGCAAGACGGAGCCTCGTTGACTCTCCGTTTCAACTTATCTCAAAAGTGAGGACCTCAACCTATATACCAGTTTTTAAATTGTGTTGATAGGCCAAATAAAACCAGAGTTATGATAAATTATGTCCGCGATACTTTTTTTCTGCTTATTTTGATCACGTTCGGCGCTCAATCGCGCTGTATGAGACAGGAAAACATAGCATGCAGACATTAGCGACAGGTCTTACAGGCGGAAAAGGCTTGCCAAAAGAAAAAAAAAACACACCACAACATCTCTCCTATTGGTGGAAAACTTCACCACAACAACCAATCCAAAATTATATGGTGACTGATTGACAAGGGGAGGGCGCTTACGTTCTTCCTGCAACATGAGAAGGGAGGGAGGGACTCTCAGCAGGGATGCAGTCTGGGACACGTAGTTGCAAACCTAGCAACTTTGTTGTTAGATTCAATGACTTTTCAGACCCCCTAACAACTTTTTTTTAGAAAGAAAGGGACTTTTATCGACTTCTTCTGGAGTTTAGAGACTCTGACATGAAGCAGGCTTTCCTTACTGAGGAGTTAGCAACGCTGCTAAGGGTGCAGAGCCACACATGCGCTCAGAGCTCTGCATGGGAGACTGAAGCTGACAGAGCTGCAGCAGTTAGCAGGTTTCACCCTCAGAGACCACCAGGGGTTCATGTTGAGGCATTTTAATTTTTTTTTTTTTTTTGTGCCATAGACACTGTCAGCACAATCTGCAGTTACACTAACAAAAATGCTGCAAAAAACAAAGAATTATGGAAAAATTACACATGGACTGACATAGAGGAGGATCTACACAAGTTTTTTACATCATGTTTTACATCATGCATCATTTACATCATGTTTTTTTGTAGTGGCATAAATAAAAAGTGACATTTGTGAGACTATACAGTGTTTTGTAAATAATTTTACAAAGAACGCCTGGGCCATTGCCTGCATTTTGATGTAAATAGAGGTAAATTACTATGTTCTTTGTTAAAAATTTGCATATGTTTTGAAGTTTACAATTTTTATTTGAAGTTTAAGTTTTAAAAACAGTTCATCACACATATTTGTGGTTTAATTTCACATTAATTTCCATATTGTATAAATGACTGGAAAAAACTTGAGCCCCTGCCCCTGTATAATCATGTGCACGTCCCTGTTCTAGCTCCAAGGTGAATCTTCACTGCTCATGTTCTCCTCAGAAATAGTCACCTCACTCCCCTCAGGTTACTGTACACATGCACCAACTATCTGCTTCAGGTTTGAAATGGAGCTTCATGGTTGTCTTTTGGAGAAATGAACAGTCAAGTTGTGTTTGAAATTTGATTTTTTTTCAGGGGCAAAAGGAAGCCTCTGCATTCTTGTCAAATATGTAAACAGCATGTTTTTGCAGGTGCTAAAAAACAGACTCTGAGTGTGTGTGTGTGTGTGTGTGTGTGTGTGTGTGTGTGTGTGTGTGTGTGTGTATGTTGGCGTGTGTGTATATGTGTGTGTATCCTGCAGTACTCTGTACTCCTGCAGTGGCCAAAAAGACTTTTAAGAATGTGGATTTTTGGGTCATCTTTGGCGCCCCCTAGAACTGCAGTACTCTGTACTCCTGCAGTGGCCAAAATGACTTTTAAGAATGTGGATTTTTGGGTCATCTTTGGCGCCCCCTAGAACGTAAACTGTGGGGTGCAGCGTCATGATTTTTACAACTTTGAATGGGCATGGGGTGTAGATTGCCCTGAGCAAATTTGGTATCGGTGGGACGAAAGCCTTAGGAGGAGATAGCCACATTCCAATGTGTGCGAATCGGCAAAAAATGCAAAATAGCCCTTTAACCGTACATTATACAGATACGCGCTCTTTGACTTTTTCGTAGATCTAATTGAGATACACATGATTGTCAATTTTTGTGTCATTTTGACAAAGCGTTCAGGCGTGACACTCAACAATGTGTATTTTTATGTAAGGGGACAAGAAAAAATTGACTTTTTTCTCCTACCATGGGGGGGCGCTCTTTTGGGGAGTAAAAATTCCTTCACAAATGTGTTGATGGCTGGACATTGCATCATCCTAGAAAACTTGGAGGCCAGTGAGGACAAAAATAAAAAGTTATAAAACATTTAAGAATGTGGATTTTTGGGTTAATTTTGGCGCCCCCTAGAACCTAAACCATGGGGTGCAGCATCATGATTTGAATAACTTTTAATGGCCATGGGGTGTAGATTGGCCTGAGCAAATGTGGTGCCGGTGGAACGAAAGCCTTCGGAGGAGTTAGCGAAATTCCAATGTGTGCGGATCGGCAAAAAATGCGGAATAACCCTTTAACCGTACATTTGACAGATACGCGCGCATTGACTTTTTCGTAGATCTTATTGAGATACATGTGTGTGTCAATTTTTGTGTCATTTTGCCAAAGCGTACAGGTGTTACACTCAACAATGTGTATTTTCACCTTAGGGGACAAGAAAAAATGGACTTTTTTCTCCTGCCATGGGGGGGCGCTCTTTTGGGGAGTAAAAATTCCTTCACAAATGTGTTGATGGCTGGACATTGCATCATCCTAGAAAACTTGGAGGCCAGTGAGGGCAAAAATAAAAAGTTATAAGACTTTTAAATATGTGGATCTTAGGGTTATCTTTGGCGCCCCCTAGAACCTAAACCGTGGGGTGCAGCGTCATGATTTGAATAACTTTTAATGGCCATGGGGTGTAGATTGGCCTGAGCAAATGTGGTGCCGGTGGAACGAAAGCCTTCGGAGGAGTTAGCGAAATTCCAATGTGTGCGGATCGGCAAAAAATGCGAAATAACCCTTTAACCGTACATTTGACAGATACGCCCGCACTGACTTTTTTGTAGATCTTATTGAGATACATGTGTGTGTCAATTTTTGTGTCATTTTGACAAAGCGTACAGGCGTGACAGTGAATAGTGTGAATTTTCACCTTAGGGGGCGCTATGGAGCCATTTTGCATTTTCTTGTTTGGGCGACTTCGGAATATCAAATTTTTCACCAGGCCCGGTCGTCCTGCCAAATTTCATGAGTTTTCGCCAGTGGGAAGTGGGCCATTTTCCAGTTCAAAGGGGAGGAAAAATAATAACTAGGACCCCGTTGGGGCACTGGCGGGCCCGAGCCGTGTCGCCCCCCCCCCCCAACGTGCTGCCTCCCCGTCCCATTTGTGTCCTCTGGCCATCGCCCTCTCTGGTAACGCCCATCACTGCAAAGACCCTTTTCCTTCATCGGCGTTTGCTGTTCTTCCTGCCAGTGCGTGTTGCTTTCACTTACACTTGCCACAGCCAGCCTCGTGAGTGCCTAGCCTATTGGATATCACTGTCACCTACACAGGACAGTCATTACCTTTCTATTAATACTTTGTGTTTTAATTTCACATTAATTTCCATATTGTATAAACGACTGGAAAAAACTTGAGCCCCTGCCCCTGTATAATCATGTGCATGTCTCTGTTCTAGCTCCAAGGTGAATCTTCACTGCTCATGTTCTCCTCAGAAGCACTCACCTCACTCCCCTCAGGTTACTGTACACATGCACCAACTGCCTGCTTCAGGTTTGGATGGAGCTTCATGGTTGTCTTTTGGAGAAATGACCAGTCAAGTTGTGTTTGAAATTTGATTTTTTTCAGGGGCAAAAGGAGCTTCTGCATTCTTGTCAAATATGTAAATAGCATATTTGGAGGTGCTAAAAAACAGACTCTGAGTGTGTGTGTGTGTGTGCGTGTGTGTGTGTCTGTGTGTGCGTTCAAGTCACATGACATATTTAACCGGATGTAGCTGCAAGACGGAGCCTCGTTGACTCTCCGTTTCAACTTATCTCAAAAGTGAGGACCTCAACCTATATACCAGTTTTTAAATTGTGTTGATAGGCCAAATAAAACCAGAGTTATGATAAATTATGTCCGCGATACTTTTTTTCTGCTTATTTTGATCACGTTCGGCGCTCGATCGCGCTGTATGAGACAGGAAAACATAGCATGCAGACATTAGCGACAGCTCTTACAGGCGGAAAAGGCTTGCCAAAAGAAAAAAAAAACACACCACAACATCTCTCCTATTGGTGGAAAACTTCACCACAACAACCAATCCAAAATTATATGGTGACTGATTGACAAGGGGCGGGCGCTTACGTTCTTCCTGCAACATGAGAAGGGAGGGAGGGACTCTCAGCAGGGATGCAGTCTGGGACACGTAGTTGCAAACCTAGCGACTTTGTTGTTAGATTCAATGACTTTTCAGACCCCCTAACGACTTTTTTTTAGAAAGAAAGGGACTTTTATCGACTTCTTCTGGAGTTTAGAGACTCTGACATGAAGCAGGCTTTCCTTACTGAGGAGTTAGCAACGCTGCTAAGGGTGCAGAGCCACACATGCGCTCAGAGCTCTGCATGGGAGACTGAAGCTGACAGAGCTGCAGCAGTTAGCAGGTTTCACCCTCAGAGACCACCAGGGGTTCATGTTGAGGCATTTTAATTTTTTTTTTTTTTTGTGCCATAGACACTGTCAGCACAATCTGCAGTTACACTAACAAAAATGCTGCAAAAAACAAAGAATTATGGAAAAATTACACAGGGACTGACATACAGGAGGATCTACACAAGTTTTTTACATCATGTTTTACATCATGCATCATTTACATCATGTTTTTTTGTAGTGGCATAAATAAAAAGTGACATTTGTGAGACTATACAGTGTTTTGTAAATAATTTTACAAAGAACGCCTGGGCCATTGCCTGCATTTTGATGTAAATAGAGGTAAATCACTATGTTCTTTGTTAAAAATTTGCATATGTTTTGAAGTTTACAATTTTTATTTGAAGTTTAAGTTTTAAAAACAGTTCATCACACATATTTGTGGTTTTCACAGTAAAAATGTTACTTTTTTCCACTCGGATTTTATGTTTTGTGTGTGAATTTGGGTCCATTGTGTAAATTCAGTATGTCAACATGATAAAATAACTGTAAATTCGCACAGGTGAGGTTGTGCTGAAAAAAATGATACCAGGCAAGGCACGTGATTGTCAAATTTTGTGTCAATATGACAAAGCGTATAGGCGTGAATCTCAACAATATGTATTTTCACCTTAGGGGACAAGAAAAAATGGACTTTTTTCTCCTGCCATGGGGGGGCGCTCTTTTGGGGAGTAAAAATTCCTTCACAAATGTGTTGATGGCTGGACATTGCATCATCCTAGAAAACTTGGAGGCCAGTGAGGACAAAAATAAAAAGTTATAAGACTTTTAAATATGTGGATTTTAGGGTTATCTTTGGCGCCCCCTAGAACCTAAACCGTGGGGTGCAGCGTCATGATTTTGATAACTTTTAATGGCCATGGGGTGTAGATTGGCCTGAGCAAATGTGGTGCCGGTGGAACGAAAGCCTTAGGAGGAGTTAGCCACATTTCAATGTGTGCGGATCGGCAAAAAATGCGGAATAACCCTTTAACCGTACATTTGACAGATACGCGCGCATTGACTTTTTCGTAGATCTTATTGAGTTACATGTGTGTGTCAATTTTTGTGTCATTTTGACAAAGCGTATAGGCGTGACACTCAACAATGTGTATTTTCACCTTAGGGGACAAGAAAAAATGGACTTTTTTCTCCTGCCATGGGGGGGCGCTCTTTTGGGGAGTAAAAATTCCTTCACAAATGTGTTGATGGCTGGACATTGCATCATCCTAGAAAACTTGGAGGCCAGTGAGGACAAAAATAAAAAGTTATAAGACTTTTAAATATGTGGATTTTAGTGTTAACTTTGGCGCCCCCTAGAACCTAAACCTTGGGGTGCAGCGTCATGATTTTGATAACTTTTAATGGCCACGGGGTGTAGATTGGCCTGAGCAAATGTGGTGCCGGTGGAACGAAAGCCTTCGGAGGAGTTAGCGAAATTCCAATGTGTGCAGATCGGCAAAAAATGCGAAATAACCCTTTAACCGTAATTTTGACAGATACGGCCGCACTGACTTTTTTGTAGATCTTATTGAGATACATGTGTGTGTCAATTTTTGTGTCATTTTGACAAAGCGTACAGTCGTGACAGTGAATAGTGTGAATTTTCACTTTAGGGGGCGCTATGGAGCCATTTTGCATTTTATTGTTTTGGCGACTTCAGAATATCAAATTTTTCACCAGGCCCGGTCGTCCTGCCAAATTTCATGAGTTTTCGCCAGTGGGAAGTGGGCCATTTTCCAGTTCAAAGGGGAGGAAAAAGAAAAAAGAAAGAAAGAAACAAAGACTAGGGCCCCGGTGGGGCACTGTCGGGCCCGAGCCACGTCACACCGCCCCCAGTGCGACCGCCTCCCCCTCCCGATCGAGTCACACTCAAGATCCAAAGATGGTGTGCGCACTTGTCTGTGGTCATTTCCCATTATAATGAATGGGAGGCGCAGTTTCTACCAAAACACTCGCTGCAGAAAAAACTTCATGTCCTATTTGAAAAAAGTCTGGACCATGAGTGAGGGCACAAACACAGCTATGATATATCGAAATGGCAGGTTGCTCCTCCTTACGGTGTTGCCTGGAGAGCGATGCGATTGAGCCATTGAGCGATGGGCAGGAAAAACTTGACTTTTTCTCCTGCCATAGGGGGGGGGGATGTGGATTCTTTTAAGAATGTGGATTTTTGGGTCATCTTTGGCGCCCCCTAGAACGTAAACCGTGGGGTGCAGCGTCATGATTTTTACAACTTTGAATGGCCATGGGGTGTAGATTGGCCTGAGCAAATTTGGTGTCAGTGGGACGAAAGCCTTAGGAGGAGTTAGCCACATTCCAATGTGTGCGAATCGGCAAAAAATGCAAAATAGCCCTTTAACCGTACATTTGACAGATACGCGCGAGTTGACTTTTTTGTAGATCTTATTGAGATACATATGTGTGTCAATTTTTGTGTCAATATGATAAAGCGTACAGGCGTGACAGTCAATAGTGTGAATTTCCACCTTAGGGGACAAGAAAAAATTGACTTTTTTCTCCTGCCATGGGGGGGCGCTCTTTTGGGGAGTAAAAATTCCTTCACAAATGTGTTGATGGCTGGACATTGCATCATCCTAGAAAACTTGGAGGCCAGTGAGGACAAAAATAAAAAGTTATAAGACTTTTAAATATGTGGATTTTTGGGTTATCTTTGGCGCCCCCTAGAACCTAAACCGTGGGATGCAGCGTCATGATTTGAATAACTTTTAACGGCCATGGGGTGTAGATTGGCCTGAGCAAATGTGGTGCCGGTCGAACGAAAGCCTTCGGAGGAGTTAGCGAAATTCCAATGTGTGCGGATCGGCAAAAAATGCGGAATAACCCTTTAACCGTACATTTGACAGATACGCGCGCATTGACTTTTTCGTAGATCTTATTGAGATACATGTGTGTGTCAATTTTTGTGTCATTTTGCCAAAGCGTACAGGTGTTACACTCAACAATGTGTATTTTCACCTTAGGGGACAAGAAAAAATGGACTTTTTTCTCCTGCCATGGGGGGGCGCTCTTTTGGGGAGTAAAAATTCCTTCACAAATGTGTTGATGGCTGGACATTGCATCATCCTAGAAAACTTGGAGGCCAGTGAGGGCAAAAATAAAAAGTTATAAGACTTTTAAATATGTGGATCTTAGGGTTATCTTTGGCGCCCCCTAGAACCTAAACCGTGGGATGCAGCGTCATGATTTGAATAACTTTTAATGGCCATGGGGTGTAGATTGGCCTGAGCAAATGTGGTGCCGGTGGAACGAAAGCCTTCGGAGGAGTTAGCGAAATTCCAATGTGTGCGGATCGGCAAAAAATGCGAAATAACCCTTTAACCGTACATTTGACAGATACGCCCGCACTGACTTTTTTGTAGATCTTATTGAGATACATGTGTGTGTCAATTTTTGTGTCATTTTGACAAAGCGTACAGGCGTGACAGTCAATAGTGTGAATTTTCACCTTAGGGGGCGCTATGGAGCCATTTTGCATTTTCTTGTTTGGGCGACTTCGGAATATCAAATTTTTCACCAGGCCCGGTCGTCCTGCCAAATTTCATGAGTTTTCGCCAGTGGGAAGTGGGCCATTTTCCAGTTCAAAGGGGAGGAAAAATAATAATAATAACAAAAGAAGGAAACATGCAGGAACAAGAGGGCTCTCGCAGCTGCTTAGCAGCTACGCTCGGGCCCTAATAACACTAGGGCCCCCGGTGGGGCACTGTCGGGCCCGAGCCGCGTCACGCCGCCCCCAGCGCGACCGCCTCCACCTCCCGATCGCGTCACACTCTAGGTCCAAAGATGGAGTGCGCACTTGTCTGTGGTCATTTACCATTATAATGAATGGGAGGCGCAGTTTCTACCAAAACACTCGCTGCAGACAAACTACATGTCCTATTTGAAAAAAGTCTGGACCATGAGTGAGGGCACAAACACAGCTAGGATATATCCAAATGGCAAGTTGCTCCTCCTTTCGCTTTTGCCGAGAGAGCGATGCAATTGAGCCATTGAGCGATGGGCAGGAAAAACTTGACTTTTTCTCCTGCCATGGGGGGAGGGGGGGGGATGTGGATTCTTTTAAGAATGTGGATTTTTGGGTCATCTTTGGCACCCCCTAGAACGTAAACCGTGGGGTGCAGCGTCATGATTTTTACAACTTTGAATGGCCATGGGGTGTAGATTGGCCTGAGCAAATTTGGTGTCAGTGGGACGAAAGCCTTAGGAGGAGTTAGCCACATTCCAATGTGTGCGAATCGGCAAAAAATGCAAAATAGCCCTTTAACCGTACATTTTACAGATATTTGCGCATGACTTTTTCATAGATCTTATTGAGATACACGTGATTGTCAAATTTTGTGTCATTTTGACAAAGCGTAGAGGCGTGACACTCAACAATGTGTTTTTTCACCTTATGGGACAAGAAAAAATTGACTTTTTTCTCCTGCCATGGGGGGGCGCTCTTTTGGGGAGTAAAAATTCCTTCACAAATGTGTTGATGGCTGGACATTGCATCATCCTAGAAAACTTGGAGGCCAGTGGGGACAAAAATAAAAAGTTATAAGACTTTTAAATATGTGGATTTTACGGTTATCTTTGGCTCCCCCTAGAACCTAAACCGTGGGGTGCAGCGTCATGATTTGAATAACTTTTAATGGCCATGGGGTGTAGATTGGCCTGAGCAAATGTGGTGCCGGTGGAACGAAAGCCTTCGGAGGAGTTAGCGAAATTCCAATGTGTGCGGATCGGCAAAAAATGCGGAATAACCCTTTAACCGTACATTTAACAGATACGCGCGCATTGACTTTTTCGTAGATCTTATTGAGATACATGTGTGTGTCAATTTTTGTGTCATTTTGCCAAAGCGTACAGGTGTTACACTCAACAATGTGTATTTTCACCTTAGGGGACAAGAAAAAATGGACTTTTTTCTCCTGCCATGGGGGGCGCTCTTTTGGGGAGTAAAAATTCCTTCACAAATGTGTTGATGGCTGGACATTGCATCATCCTAGAAAACTTTGAGGCCAGTGAGGGCAAAAATAAAAAGTTATAAGACTTTTAAATATGTGGATCTTAGGGTTATCTGTGGCGCCCCCTAGAACCTAAACCGTGGGGTGCAGCGTCATGATTTGAATAACTTTTAATGGCCATGGGGTGTAGATTGGCCTGAGCAAATGTGGTGCCGGTGGAACGAAAGCCTTCGGAGGAGTTAGCGAAATTCCAATGTGTGCGGATCGGCAAAAAATGCGAAATAACCCTTTAACCGTACATTTGACAGATACGCCCGCACTGACTTTTTTGTAGATCTTATTGAGATACATGTGTGTGTCAATTTTTGTGTCATTTTGCCAAAGCGTACAGGCGTGACAGTGAATAGTGTGAATTTTCACCTTAGGGGGCGCTATGGAGCCATTTTGCATTTTCTTGTTTGGGCGACTTCGGAATATCAAATTTTTCACCAGGCCCGGTCGTCCTGCCAAATTTCATGAGTTTTCGCCAGTGGGAAGTGGGCCATTTTCCAGTTCAAAGGGGAGGAAAAATAATAACTAGGGCCCCGTTGGGGCACTGGCGGGCCCGAGCCGTGTCACGCCGCCCCCAGCGCGACCGCCTCCCCCACCCGATCGCGTCACACTCAAGGTCCAAAGATGGTGTGCGCACTTGTTTGTGGTCATTTACCATTATAATGAACGGGAGGCGCAGTTTCTACCAAAACGCTCGCTGCAGAAAAACTCCATGTCCTATTTGAAAAAAGTCTGGACCATGAGTGAGGGCACAAACACAGCTAAGATATATCCAAATGGCAAGTTGCTCCTCCTTCCGCTTTTGCCGAGAGAGCAGTGCGTTTGAGCCATTGAATGATGAACAGGAAAAACTTGACTTTATTCTCCTGCCATGGGGGGCGCTCTTTTAAAGAGAAAAACTCCTTCACAAATGTGTTGATGGCTGGACATTGCATCATCCTAGAAAACATGGAGGCCAGTGAGGACAAAAATAAAAAGTTATAAGACTTTTAAATATGTGGATTTTAGGGTTATATTTGGCGCCCCCTAGAACCTAAACCGTGGGGTGCAGCGTCATGATTTGAATAACTTTTAATGGCCATGGGGTGTAGATTGGCCTGAGCAAATGTGGTGCCGGTGGAACGAAAGCCTTCGGAGGAATTAGCGAAATTCCAATGTGTGCGAATCTGCAAAAAATGCAAAATAACCCTTTAACCGTACATTTTACAGATACGTGGCCATTGACTTTTTCGAAGATCTTATGTAAATACACGTGTATGTAAAATTTTGTGTCAATACGACAAAACATACAGGCGTAGCACTCAACAATGTGTATTTTCACCTTAGTGGACAAGAAAAAATTGACTTTTTTCTCCTGCCATGGGGGGGCGCTCTTTTGCCGAGTAAAAATTCCTTCACAAATGTGTTGATGGCTGGACATTGCATCATCCTAGAAAACTTGGAGGCCAGTGGGGACAAAAATAAAAAGTTATAAGACTTTTAAATATGTGGATTTTACGGTTATCTTTGGCTCCCCCTAGAACCTAAACCGTGGGGTGCAGCGTCATGATTTGAATAACTTTTAATGGCCATGGGGTGTAGATTGGCCTGAGCAAATGTGGTGCCGGTGGAACGAAAGCCTTCGGAGGAGTTAGCGAAATTCCAATGTGTGCGGATCGGCAAAAAATGCGGAATAACCCTTTAACCGTACATTTGACAGATACGCGCGCATTGACTTTTTCGTAGATCTTATTGAGATACATGTGTGTGTCAATTTTTGTGTCATTTTGCCAAAGTACAGGTGTTACACTCAACAATGTGTATTTTCACCTTAGGGGACAAGAAAAAATGGACTTTTTTCTCCTGCCATGGGGGGGCGCTCTTTTGGGGAGTAAAAATTCCTTCACAAATGTGTTGATGGCTGGACATTGCATCATCCTAGAAAACTTGGAGGCCAGTGAGGGCAAAAATAAAAAGTTATAAGACTTTTAAATATGTGGATCTTAGGGTTATCTTTGGCGCCCCCTAGAACCTAAACCGTGGGGTGCAGCGTCATGATTTGAATAACTTTTAATGGCCATGGGGTGTAGATTGGCCTGAGCAAATGTGGTGCCGGTGGAACGAAAGCCTTCGGAGGAGTTAGCGAAATTCCAATGTGTGCGGATCGGCAAAAAATGCGAAATAACCCTTTAACCGTACATTTGACAGATACGCCCGCACTGACTTTTTTGTAGATCTTATTGAGATACATGTGTGTGTCAATTTTTGTGTCATTTTGACAAAGCGTACCGGCGTGACAGTGAATAGTGTGAATTTTCACCTTAGGGGGCGCTATGGAGCCATTTTGCATTTTCTTGTTTGGGCGACTTCGGAATATCAAATTTTTCACCAGGCCCGGTCGTCCTGCCAAATTTCATGAGTTTTCGCCAGTGGGAAGTGGGCCATTTTCCAGTTCAAAGGGGAGGAAAAATAATAATAATAATAATAACAAAAGAAGGAAACTACAGGAACAAGAGGGCTCTCGCAGCTGCTTAGCAGCTACGCTCGGGCCCTAAAAAGAAGGAAACTACAGGAACAAGAGGGCTCTCGCAGCTGCTTAGCAGCTACGCTCGGGCCCTAAAAACCCCTTGGGGAATAATAGGGCTCTCGCAGCTGCTTAGCAGCTACGCTCGGGCCCTAACTAGAACCCCGTTGGGGCACTGGCGGGCCCGAGCCGTGTCGCGTCCCCCCCCCCAACGTGCTGCCTCCCCGTCCCATTTGTGTCCTCTGGCCATCGCCCTCTCTGGTAACGCCCATCACTGCAAAGACCCTTTTCCTTCATCGGCGTTTGCTGTTCTTCTTGCCAGTGCGTGTTGCTTTCACTTACACTTGCCACAGCCAGCCTCGTGAGTGCCTAGCCTATTGGATATCACTGTCACCTACACAGGACAGTCATTACCTTTCTATTAATACTTTGTGTTTTAATTTCACATTAATTTCCATATTGTATAAACGACTGGAAAAAACTTGAGCCCCTGCCCCTGTATAATCATGTGCATGTCTCTGTTCTAGCTCCAAAGTGAATCTTCACTGCTCATGTTCTCCTCAGAAGCACTCACCTCACTCCCCTCAGGTTACTGTACACATGCACCAACTGCCTGCTTCAGGTTTGGATGGAGCTTCATGGTTGTCTTTTGGAGAAATGACCAGTCAAGTTGTGTTTGAAATTTGATTTTTTTCAGGGGCAAAAGGAGCCTCTGCATTCTTGTCAAATATGTAAATAGCATGTTTTTGCAGGTGCTAAAAACCAGACTCTGAGTGTGTGTGTGTGTGTGTGTGTGTGTGTGTGTGTGTGTGTGTGTGTGTGCGTGTGTGTGTGTCTGTGTGTGCGTTCAAGTCACATGACATATTTAACCGGATGTAGCTGCAAGACGGAGCCTCGTTGACTCTCCGTTTCAACTTATCTCAAAAGTGAGGACCTCAACCTATATACCAGTTTTTAAATTGTGTTGATAGGCCAAATAAAACCAGAGTTATGATAAATTATGTCCGCGATACTTTTTTTCTGCTTATTTTGATCACGTTCGGCGCTCGATCGCGCTGTATGAGACAGGAAAACATAGCATGCAGACATTAGCGACAGGTCTTACAGGCGGAAAAGGCTTGCCAAAAGGAAAAAAAAACACACCACAACATCTCTCCTATTGGTGGAAAACTTCACCACAACAACCAATCCAAAATTATATGGTGACTGATTGACAAGGGGCGGGTGCTTACGTTCTTCCTGCAACATGAGAAGCGAGGGAGGGACTCTCAGCAGGGATGCAGTCTGGGACACGTAGTTGCAAACCTAGCGACTTTGTTGTTAGATTCAATGACTTTTCAGACCCCCTAACGACTTTTTTTTTAGAAAGAAAGGGACTTTTATCGACTTCTTCTGGAGTTTAGAGACTCTGACATGAAGCAGGCTTTCCTTACTGAGGAGTTAGCAACGCTGCTAAGGGTGCAGAGCCACACATGCGCTCAGAGCTCTGCATGGGAGACTGAAGCTGACAGAGCTGCAGCAGTTAGCAGGTTTCACCCTCAGAGACCACCAGGGGTTCATGTTGAGGCATTTTAATTTTTTTTTTTTTTGTGCCATAGACACTGTCAGCACAATCTGCAGTTACACTAACAAAAATGCTGCAAAAAACAAAGAATTATGGAAAAATTACACATGGACTGACATAGAGGAGGATCTACACAAGTTTTTTACATCATGTTTTACATCATGCATCATTTACATCATGTTTTTTTGTAGTGGCATAAATAAAAAGTGACATTTGTGAGACTATACAGTGTTTTGTAAATAATTTTACAAAGAACGCCTGGGCCATTGCCTGCATTTTGATGTAAATAGAGGTAAATCACTATGTTCTTTGTTAAAAATTTGCATATGTTTTGAAGTTTACAATTTTTATTTGAAGTTTAAGTTTTAAAAACAGTTCATCACACATATTTGTGGTTTTCACAGTAAAAATGTTACTTTTTTCCACTCGGATTTTATGTTTTGTGTGTGAATTTGGGTCCATTGTGTAAATTCAGTATGTCAACATGATAAAATAACTGTAAATTCGCACAGGTGAGGTTGTGCTGAAAAAAATGATACCAGGCAAGGCACGTGATTGTCAAATTTTGTGTCAATATGACAAAGCGTATAGGCGTGAATCTCAACAATATGTATTTTCACCTTAGGGGACAAGAAAAAATTGACTTTTTTCTCCTGCCATGGGGGGGAGCTCTTTTGGGGAGTAAAAATTCCTTCACAAATGTGTTGATGGCTGGACATTGCATCATCCTAGAAAACTTGGAGGCCAGTGAGGACAAAAATAAAAAGTTATAAGACTTTTAAATATGTGGATTTTAGGGTTATCTTTGGCGCCCCCTAGAACCTAAACCGTGGGGTGCAGCGTCATGATTTTGATAACTTTTAATGGCCATGGGGTGTAGATTGGCCTGAGCAAATGTGTTGCCGGTGGAACGAAAGCCTTAGGAGGAGTTAGCCACATTCCAATGTGTGCGGATCGGCAAAAAATGCGGAATAACCCTTTAACCGTACATTTGACAGATACGCGCTCATGGACTTTTTTGTAGATCTTATTGAGATACATGTGTGTGTCAATTTTTGTGTCATTTTGCCAAAGCGTAAAGGCGTGACACTCAACAATGTGTATTTTCACCTTAGGGGTCAAGAAAAAAATGGACTTTTTTCTCCTGCCATGGGGGGGCGCTCTTTTGGGGAGTAAAAATTCCTTCACAGATGTGTTGATGGCTGGACATTGCATCATCCTAGAAAACTTGGAGGCCAGTGAGGACAAAAATAAAAAGTTATAAGACTTTTAAATATGTGGATTTTAGGGTTATTTTTGGCGCCCCCTAGAACCTTAAACCGTGGGGTGCAGCGTCATGATTTGAATAACTTTTAATGGCCATGGGGTGTAGATTGGCCTGAGCAAATGTGGTGCCGGTGGAACGAAAGCCTTCGGAGGAGTTAGCGAAATTCCAATGTGTGCAGATCTGCAAAAAATGCAAAATAACCCATTAACCGTACATTTGACAGATACGCCCGCACTGACTTTTTTGTAGATCTTATTGAGATACATGTGTGTGTCAATTTTTGTGTCAATATGACAAAGCGTACAGCCGTCATGTGAATTTTCACCTTAGGGGGCGCTATGGAGCCATTTTGCATTTTATTGTTTGGGCGACTTCAGAATATCAAATTTTTCACCAGGCCCGGTCGTCCTGCCAAATTTCATGAGTTTTCGCCAGTGGGAAGTGGGCCATTTTCCAGTTCAAAGGGGAGGAAAAAGAAAAAAGAAACAAAGAACTAGGACCCCGTTGGGGCACTGGCGGGCCCGAGCCGTGTCGCGTCCCCCCCCCCCCCCCCCCCCAACGTGCTGCCTCCCCGTCCCATTTGTGTCCTCTGGCCATCGCCCTCTCTGGTAACGCCCATCACTGCAAAGACCCTTTTCCTTCATCGGCGTTTGCTGTTCTTCCTGCCAGTGCGTGTTGCTTTCACTTACACTTGCCACAGCCAGCCTCGTGAGTGCCTAGCCTATTGGATATCACTGTCACCTACACAGGACAGTCATTACCTTTCTATTAATACTTTGTTTTTTAATTTCACATTAATTTCCATATTGTATAAACAACTGGAAAAAACTTGAGCCCCTGCCCCTGTATAATCATGTGCACGTCTCTGTTCTAGCTCTAAGGTGAATCTTCACTGCTCATGTTCTCCTCAGAAGCAGTCACCTCACTCCCCTCAGGTTACTGTACACATGCACCAACTGCCTGCTTCAGGTTTGGATGGAGCTTCATGGTTGTCTTTTGGAGAAATGAGCAGTCAAGTTGTGTTTGAAATTTGATTTTTTTCAGGGGCAAAAGGAGCCTCTGCATTCTTGTCAAATATGTAAATAGCATGTTTTTGCAGGTGCTAAAAACCAGACTCTGAGTGTGTGTGTGTGCGTGTGTGTGTGTGTCTGTGTGTGTGTGTGTGTGTGTGTGTGTGTGTGTGTGCGTTCAAGTCACATGACATATTTAACCGGATGTAGCTGCAAGACGGAGCCTCGTTGACTCCGTTTCAACTTATCTCAAAAGTGAGGACCTCAACCTATATACCAGTTTTTAAATTGTGTTGATAGGCCAAATAAAACCAGAGTTATGATAAATTATGTCCGCGATACTTGTTTTCTGCTTATTTTGATCACGTTCGGCGCTCGATCGCGCTGTATGAGACAGGAAAACATAGCATGCAGACATTAGCGACAGGTCTTACAGGCGGAAAAGGCTTGCCAAAGGAAAAAAAAAACACACCACAACATCTCTCCTATTGGTGGAAAACTTCACCACAACAACCAATCCAAAATTATATGGTGACTGATTGACAAGGGGCGGGCGCTTACGTTCTTCCTGCAATATGAGAAGGGAGGGAGGGACTCTCAGCAGGGATGCAGTCTGGGACACGTAGTTGCAAACCTAGCGACTTTGTTGTTAGATTCAATGACTTTTCAGACCCCCTAACGACTTTTTTTTTAGAAAGAAAGTGACTTTTATCGACTTCTTCTGGAGTTTAGAGACTCTGACATGAAGCAGGCTTTCCTTACTGAGGAGTTAGCAACGCTGCTAAGGGTGCAGAGCCACACATGCGCTCCGAGCTCTGCATGGGAGACTGAAGCTGACAGAGCTGCAGCAGTTAGCAGGTTTCACCCTCAGAGACCACCAGGGGTTCATGTTGAGGCATTTTCAGTTTTTTTTTTTTTTTTGCCATAGACACTGTCAGCACAATCTGCAGTTACACTAACAAAAATGCTGCAAAAAACAAAGAATTATGGAAAAATTACACATGGACTAACATAGAGGAGGATCTACACAAGTTTTTTACATCATGTTTTACATCATGCATCATTTACATCATGTTTTTTTGTAGTGGCATAAATAAAAAGTGACATTTGTGAGACTATACAGTGTTTTGTAAATAATTTTACAAAGAACACCTGGGCCATTGCCTGCATTTTGATGTAAATAGAGGTAAATTACTATGTTCTTTGTTAAAAATTTGCATATGTTTTGAAGTTTACAATTTTAATTTGAAGTTTAAGTTTTAAAAACAGTTCATCACACATATTTGTGGTTTTCACAGTAAAAACGTTACTTTTTTCCACTCGGATTTTATGTTTTGTGTGTGAATTTGGGTCCAATGTGTAAATATAGTATGTCAAAATGATAAAATAACTGTAAATTGACACAGGTGAGGTTGTGCTGAAAAAAATGATACCAGGCAAGGCAAGGTAAAAATTTTGTAAGAGGAAATATAAAGGTAAAATCTAAAGTAGTCAAAAACGGCCAATAGTGACTCACAGACTCCACAGACAAGTCCCTTTGGCGCCACTCAGTGGGCAAAACTACTTTGTCTACTGTAATGTATATTTGGGTCATCTTTGGCGCCCCCTAAAACGTAAACCGTGGGGTGCAGCGTCATGATTTTTACAACTTTGAATGGCCATGGAGTGTAGATTGGCCTGAGCAAATTTGGTGTCAGTGGGACGAAAGCCTTAGGAGGACTTAGCGAAATTCCAATGTGTGCGAATCGGCAAAAAATGCAAAATAGCCCTTTTACCGTACATTATACAGATACGCGCTCTTTGACTTTTTCGTAGATCTAATTGAGATACACATGATTGTCAATTTTTGTGTCATTTTGCCAAAGCGTACAGGCGTGACAGTCAACAATGTGTATTTTCACCTTAGGGGACAAGAAAAAATGGACTTTTTTCTCCTGCCATGGGGGGGCGCTCTTTTAGGGAGTAAAAATTCCTTCACAAATGTGTTGATGGCTGGACATTGCATCATCCTAGAAAACTTGGAGGCCAGTGAGGACAAAAATAAAAAGTTATAAGACTTTTAAAAATGTGGATTTTTGGGTTATCTTTGGCGCCCCCTAGAACGTAAACCGTGGGGTGCAGCGTCATGATTTGAATAACTTTTAATGGCCATGGGGTGTAGATTGGCCTGAGCAAATGTGGTGCCGGTGGAACGAAAGCCTTCGGAGGAGTTAGCGAAATTCCAATGTGTGCGAATCGGCAAAAAATGCGGAATAACCCTTTAACCGTACATTTGACAGATACGCGCGCATGGACTTTTTTGTAGATCTTATTGAGATACATGTGTGTGTCAATTTTTGTGTCATTTTGACAAAGCGTACAGGCGTGACACTCAACAATGTGTATTTTCACCTTAGGGGACAAGAAAAAATGGACTTTTTTCTCCTGCCATGGGGGGGCGCTCTTTTGGGGAGTAAAAATTCCTTCACAAATGTGTTGATGGCTGGACATTGCATCATCCTAGAAAACTTGGAGGCCAGTGAGGGCAAAAATAAAAAGTTATAAGACTTTTAAATATGTGGATTTTAGGGTTATCTTTGGCGCCCCCTAGAACCTAAACCGTGGGGTGCAGCGTCATGATTTGAATAACTTTTAATGGCCATGGGGTGTAGATTGGCCTGAGCAAATGTGGTGCCGGTGGAACGAAAGCCTTCAAAGGAGTTAGCGAAATTCCAATGTGTGCGGATCGGCAAAAAATGCGAAATAACCCTTTAACCGTACATTTGACAGATACGCCCGCACTGACTTTTTTGTAGATCTTATTGAGATACATGTGTGTGTCAAATTTTGTGTCATTTTGACAAAGCGTACAGGCGTGACACTCAATAGTGTGAATTTTCACCTTAGGGGGCGCTATGGAGCCATTTTGCATTTTCTTGTTTGGGCGACTTCGGAATATCAAATTTTTCACCAGGCCCGGTCGTCCTGCCAAATTTCATGAGTTTTCGCCAGTGGGAAGTGGGCCATTTTCCAGTTCAAAGGGGAGGAAAAAGAAAAAAGAAACAAAGAAAAACCCCTTGGGGAATAATAGGGCTCTCGCAGCTGCTTAGCAGCTACGCTCGGGCCCTAATAATAATAACAAAAGAAGGAAACTACAGGAACAAGAGGGCTCTCGCAGCTGCTTAGCAGCTACGCTCGGGCCCTAACTAGTTATGTGGATTTTAGGGTTATATTTGGCGCCCCCTAGAACCTAAACCGTGGGGTGCAGTGTCATGATTTGAATAACTTTTAATGGCCATGGGGTGTAGATTGGCCTGAGCAAATGTGGTGCCGGTGGAACGAAAGCCTTCGGAGGAATTAGCGAAATTCCAATGTGTGCGAATCTGCAAAAAATGCGAAATAACCCTTTAACCGTACATTTTACAGATACGTGGCCATTGACTTTTTCGAAGATCTTATGTAAATACACGTGTATGTAAAATTTTGTGTCAATACGACAAAACATACAGGCGTAGCACTCAACAATGTGTATTTTCACCTTAGTGGACAAGAAAAAATTGACTTTTTTCTCCTGCCATGGGGGGGCGCTCTTTTGCCGAGTAAAAATTCCTTCACAAATGTGTTGATGGCTGGACATTGCATCATCCTAGAAAACTTGGAGGCCAGTGGGGACAAAAATAAAAAGTTATAAGACTTTTAAATATGTGGATTTTACGGTTATCTTTGGCTCCCCCTAGAACCTAAACCGTGGGGTGCAGCGTCATGATTTGAATAACTTTTAATGGCCATGGGGTGTAGATTGGCCTGACCAAATGTGGTGCCGGTGGAACGAAAGCCTTAGGAGGAGTTAGCGAAATTCCAATGTGTGCGGATCGGCAAAAAATGTGGAATAACCCTTTAACCGTACATTTGACAGATACGCGCGCATTGACTTTTTCGTAGATCTTATTGAGATACATGTGTGTGTCAATTTTTGTGTCATTTTGCCAAAGCGTACAGGTGTTACACTCAACAATGTGTATTTTCACCTTAGGGGACAAGAAAAAATGGACTTTTTTCTCCTGCCATGGGGGGGCGCTCTTTTGGGGAGTAAAAATTCCTTCACAAATGTGTTGATGGCTGGACATTGCATCATCCTAGAAAACTTGGAGGCCAGTGAGGGCAAAAATAAAAAGTTATAAGACTTTTAAATATGTGGATCTTAGGGTTATCTTTGGCGCCCCCTAGAACCTAAACCGTGGGGTGCAGCGTCATGATTTGAATAACTTTTAATGGCCATGGGGTGTAGATTGGCCTGAGCAAATGTGGTGCCGGTGGAACGAAAGCCTTCGGAGGAGTTAGCGAAATTCCAATGTGTGCGGATCGGCAAAAAATGCGAAATAACCCTTTAACCCGTACATTTGACAGATACGCCCGCACTGACTTTTTTGTAGATCTTATTGAGATACATGTGTGTGTCAATTTTTGTGTCATTTTGACAAAGCGTACCGGCGTGACAGTGAATAGTGTGAATTTTCACCTTAGGGGGCGCTATGGAGCCATTTTGCATTTTCTTGTTTGGGCGACTTCGGAATATCAAATTTTTCACCAGGCCCGGTCGTCCTGCCAAATTTCATGAGTTTTCGCCAGTGGGAAGTGGGCCATTTTCCAGTTCAAAGGGGAGGAAAAAGAAAAAAGAAACAAAGAAAAACCACTTGGGGAATAATAGGGCTCTCGCAGCTGCTTAGCAGCTACGCTCGGGCCCTAAAAACCACTTGGGGAATAATAGGGCTCTCGCAGCTGCTTAGCAGCTACGCTCGGGCCCTAACTAGGGCCCCGTTGGGGCACTGGCGGGCCCGAGCCGAGTTGCGCCGCCCCCAGTGCGACCGCCTCCCCCTCCCGATCGCGTCACACTCAAGGTCCAAAGATGGTGTGCGCACTTGTCTGTGGTCATTTCCCATTATAATGAATGGGAGGCGCAGTTTCTACCAAAACACTCGCTGCAGACAAACTACATGTCCTATTTGAAAAAAGTCTGGACCATGAGTGAGGGCACAAACACAGCTAGGATATATCCAAACGGCAAGTTGCTCCTCGTTACGGTGTTGCCGGGAGAGCGATGCGATTGAGCCATTGAGTGATGGGCAGGAAAAACTTGACTTTTTCTCCTGCCATGGGGGATGGGGGATGGGGGGGGGGGGGGGGGGTGGATATTTGGGTCATCTTTGGCGCCCCCAGAACGTAAACCGTGGGGTGCAGCGTCATGATTTTTAAAACTTTGAATGGCCATGGGGTGTAGATTGGCCTGAGCAAATTTGGTGTCAGTGGGACGAAAGCCTTAGGAGGAGTTAGCCACATTCCAATGTGTGCTAATCGGCAAAAATGCAAAATAGCCCTTTAACCGTACATTTTACAGATACGCGCGCATTGACTTTTTCGTAGATCTTATTGAGATACATGTGTGTGTCAAATTTTGTGTCAATATGACAAAGCATACAGGTATGACAGTCAACAATGTGTATTTTCACCTTATGGGACAAGAAAAAATGGACTTTTTTCTCCTGCCATGGGGGGGCGCTCTTTTGGGGAGTAAAAATTCCTTCACAAATGTGTTGATGGCTGGACATTGCATCATCCTAGAAAACTTGGAGGCCAGAGAGGACAAAAATAAAAAGTTATGACTTTTAAATATGTGGATTTTAGGGTTATCTTTGGCGCCCCCTAGAACCTAAACCGTGGGGTGCAGCGTCATGATTTGAATAACTTTTAATGGCCATGGGGTGTAGATTGGCCTGAGCAAATGTGGTGCCGGTGGAACGAAAGCCTTCGGAGGAGTTAGCGAAATTCCAATGTGTGCGGATCGGCAAAAAACGCGCAATAACCCTTTAACCGTACATTTGACAGATACGCCAGCACTGACTTTTTTGTAGATCTTATTGAGATACATGTGTGTGTCAATTTTTGTGTAATTTTGACAAAGCGTACAGGCGTGACAGTCAATAGTGTGAATTTTCACCTTATGGGACAAGAAAAAATGGACTTTTTTCTCCTGCCATGGGGGGGCGCTCTTTTGGGGAGTAAAAATTCCTTCACAAATGTGTTGATGGCTGGACATTGCATCATCCTAGAAAACTTGGAGGCCAGTGAGGGCAAAAATAAAAAGTTATAAGACTTTGAAATATGTGGATTTTAGGGTTATCTTTGGCGCCCCCTAGAACCTAAACCGTGGGGTGCAGCGTCATGATTTGAATAACTTTTAATGGCCATGGGGTGTAGATTGGCCTGAGCAAATGTGGTGCCGGTGGAACGAAAGCCTTCGGAGGAGTTAGCGAAATTCCAATGTGTGCGGATCGGCAAAAAACGCGCAATAACCCTTTAACCGTACATTTGACAGATACGCCAGCACTGACTTTTTTGTAGATCTTATTGAGATACATGTGTGTGTCAATTTTTGTGTCATTTTGACAAAGCGTACAGGCGTCAGGTGAATTTTTCACCTTAGGGGGCGCTATGGAGCCATTTTGCATTGTATTGTTTGGGCGACTTCAGAATATCAAATTTTTCACCAGGCCCGGTCGTCCTGCCAAATTTCATGAGTTTTCGCCAGTGGGAAGTGGGCCATTTTCCAGTTCAAAGGGGAGGAAAAAGAAACTAGGACCCCGTTGGGGCACTGTCGGGCCCGAGCCGTGTCGCGTCCCCCCCCCAACGTGCTGCCTCCCCGTCCCATTTGTGTCCTCTGGCCATCGCCCTCTCTGGTAACGCCCATCACTGCAAAGACCCTTTTCCTTCATCGGCGTTTGCTGTTCTTCTTGCCAGTGCGTGTTGCTTTCACTTACACTTGCCACAGCCAGCCTCTTGAGTGCCTAGCCTATTGGATATCACTGTCACCTACACAGGACAGTCATTACCTTTCTATTAATACTTTGTGTTTTAATTTCACATTAATTTCCATATTGTATAAACGACTGGAAAAAACTTAAGCCCCTGCCCCTGTATAATCATGTGCATGTCTCTGTTCTAGCTCCAAGGTGAATCTTCACTGCTCATGTTCTCCTCAGAAGCACTCACCTCACTCCCCTCAGGTTACTGTACACATGCACCAACTGCCTGCTTCAGGTTTGGATGGAGCTTCATGGTTGTCTTTTGGAGAAATGACCAGTCAAGTTGTGTTTGAAATTTGATTTTTTTCAGGGGCAAAAGGAGCCTCTGCATTCTTGTCAAATATGTAAATAGCATGTTTTTGCAGGTGCTAAAAACCAGACTCTGAGTGTGTGTGTGTGTGTGTGTGTGTGTGTGTGCGTGTGTGTGTGTCTGTGTGTTCGTTCAAGTCACATGACATATTTAACCGGATGTAGCTGCAAGACGGAGCCTCGTTGACTCTCCGTTTCAACTTATCTCAAAAGTGAGGACCTCAACCTATATACCAGTTTTTAAATTGTGTTGATAGGCCAAATAAAACCAGAGTTATGATAAATTATGTCCGCGATACTTTTTTCTGCTTATTTTGATCACGTTCGGCGCTCGATCGCGCTGTATGAGACAGGAAAACATAGCATGCAGACATTAGCGACAGGTCTTACAGGCGGAAAAGGCTTGCCAAAAGAAAAAAAAAACACACCACAACATCTCTCCTATTGGTGGAAAACTTCACCACAACAACCAATCCAAAATTATATGGTGACTGATTGACAAGGGGCGGTGTGCTTACGTTCTTCCTGCAACATGAGAAGCGAGGGAGGGACTCTCAGCAGGGATGCAGTCTGGGACACGTAGTTGCAAACCTAGCGACTTTGTTGTTAGATTCAATGACTTTTCAGACCCCCTAACGACTTTTTTTAGAAAGAAAGGGACTTTTATCGACTTCTTCTGGAGTTTAGAGACTCTGACATGAAGCAGGCTTTCCTTACTGAGGAGTTAGCAACGCTGCTAAGGGTGCAGAGCCACACATGCGCTCAGAGCTCTGCATGGGAGACTGAAGCTGACAGAGCTGCAGCAGTTAGCAGGTTTCACCCTCAGAGACCACCAGGGGTTCATGTTGAGGCATTTTAATTTTTTTTTTTTTTTGTGCCATAGACACTGTCAGCACAATCTGCAGTTACACTAACAAAAATGCTGCAAAAAACAAAGAATTATGGAAAAATTACACATGGACTGACATAGAGGAGGATCTACACAAGTTTTTTACATCATGTTTTACATCATGCATCATTTACATCATGTTTTTTTGTAGTGGCATAAATAAAAAGTGACATTTGTGAGACTATACAGTGTTTTGTAAATAATTTTACAAAGAACGCCTGGGCCATTGCCTGCATTTTGATGTAAATAGAGGTAAATTACTATGTTCTTTGTTAAAAATTTGCATATGTTTTGAAGTTTACAATTTTTATTTGAAGTTTAAGTTTTAAAAACAGTTCATCACACATATTTGTGGTTTAATTTCACATTAATTTCCATATTGTATAAATGACTGGAAAAAACTTGAGCCCCTGCCCCTGTATAATCATGTGCACGTCCCTGTTCTAGCTCCAAGGTGAATCTTCACTGCTCATGTTCTCCTCAGAAATAGTCACCTCACTCCCCTCAGGTTACTGTACACATGCACCAACTATCTGCTTCAGGTTTGAAATGGAGCTTCATGGTTGTCTTTTGGAGAAATGAACAGTCAAGTTGTGTTTGAAATTTGATTTTTTTCAGGGGCAAAAGGAAGCCTCTGCATTCTTGTCAAATATGTAAACAGCATGTTTTTGCAGGTGCTAAAAAACAGACTCTGAGTGTGTGTGTGTGTGTGTGTGTGTGTGTGTGTGTGTGTGTGTATGTTGGCGTGTGTGTATATGTGTGTGTATCCTGCAGTACTCTGTACTCCTGCAGTGGCCAAAAAGACTTTTAAGAATGTGGATTTTTGGGTCATCTTTGGCGCCCCCTAGAACTGCAGTACTCTGTACTCCTGCAGTGGCCAAAATGACTTTTAAGAATGTGGATTTTTGGGTCATTTTTGGCGCCCCCTAGAACGTAAACCGTGGGGTGCAGCGTCATGATTTTTACAACTTTGAATGGGCATGGGGTGTAGATTGCCCTGAGCAAATTTGGTATCGGTGGGACGAAAGCCTTAGGAGGAGATAGCCACATTCCAATGTGTGCGAATCGGCAAAAAATGCAAAATAGCCCTTTAACCGTACATTATACAGATACGCGCTCTATGACTTTTTCGTAGATCTAATTGAGATACACATGATTGTCAATTTTTGTGTCAATATGACAAAGCGTTCAGGCGTGACACTCAACAATGTGTATTTTTATGTAAGGGGACAAGAAAAAATTGACTTTTTTCTCCTACCATGGGGGGGCGCTCTTTTGGGGAGTAAAAATTCCTTCACAAATGTGTTGATGGCTGGACATTGCATCATCCTAGAAAACTTGGAGGCCAGTGAGGACAAAAATAAAAAGTTATAAAACATTTAAGAATGTGGATTTTTGGGTTATTTTTGGCGCCCCCTAGAACCTAAACCATGGGGTGCAGCATCATGATTTGAATAACTTTTAATGGCCATGGGGTGTAGATTGGCCTGAGCAAATGTGGTGCCGGTGGAACGAAAGCCTTCGGAGGAGTTAGCGAAATTCCAATGTGTGCGTATCGGCAAAAAATGCGGAATAACCCTTTAACTGTACATTTGACAGATACGCGCGCATGGACTTTTTTGTAGATCTTATTGAGTTACATGTGTGTGTCAATTTTTGTGTCATTTTGACAAAGCGTATAGGCGTGACACTCAACAATGTGTATTTTCACCTTAGGGGACAAGAAAAAATGGACTTTTTTCTCCTGCCATGGGGGGGCGCTCTTTTGGGGAGTAAAAATTCCTTCACAAATGTGTTGATGGCTGGACATTGCATCATCCTAGAAAACTTGGAGGCCAGTGAGGACAAAAATAAAAAGTTATAAGACTTTTAAATATGTGGATTTTAGTGTTATCTTTGGCGCCCCCTAGAACCTAAACCTTGGGGTGCAGCGTCATGATTTTGATAACTTTTAATGGCCACGGGGTGTAGATTGGCCTGAGCAAATGTGGTGCCGGTGGAACGAAAGCCTTCGGAGGAGTTAGCGAAATTCCAATGTGTGCGAATCGGCAAAAAATGCGAAATAACCCTTTAACCGTAATTTTGACAGATACGGCCGCACTGACTTTTTTGTAGATCTTATTGAGATACATATGTGTGTCAATTTTTGTGTCAATATGACAAAGCGTACAGGCGTGACAGTCAATAGTGTGAATTTCCACCTTAGGGGGCGCTATGGAGCCATTTTGCATTTTATTGTTTGGGCGACTTCAGAATATCGAATTTTTCACCAGGCCCGGTCGTCCTGCCAAATTTCATGAGTTTTCGCCAGTGGGAAGTGGGCCATTTTCCAGTTCAAAGGGGAGGAAAAAGAAGAAAGAAAGAAAGAAAGAAAGAAACAAAGAAAAACCTCTTGGGGAATAATAGGGCCTACGCCCGGCTGCTCTGCAGCTGGCTCGGGCCCTAAAAAGAAACAAAGAAAAACCACTTGGGGAATAATAGGGCTCTCGCAGCTGCTTAGCAGCTACGCTCGGGCCCTAAAAAACCCCTACAGGAATAACAGGGCCTACGCCCGGCTGCTCTGCAGCTGGCTCGGGCCCTAAAGAAAGAAACAAAGAAAAACCACTTGGGGAATAATAGGGCCTACGCCCGGCTGCTCTGCAGCTGGCTCGGGCCCTAATTATGACATTCGCTTGACATTTTCAGCCAGTTACAGCAATGCCACCATGACTGAACATGCAAATGGTAATATCCCACCATGCATTGATATCTATAAGGCTAACACTGCTGTAACAATGGATACATAAAGGGAATATCATAGCTATCCAGCATCAACACCACCATATGTATTACATGCCTGCATACTACAATATTGCAATACAACACAACACAATACAAGAACTTTATTGATCCCCAAAGGGAAATTCATTTGTCTGGAATCTCATCTCATCTACTGTGTATAGAAGAAAGATCTCATAAACTCAAAAATCAGGCCACAGCGGAGATCACAAGAGACTATTGGAAAAAGCAAAGAAGGCATCGTCCAAATTCTCAGTGTTAACAGAAAAAAATCTTCACCTTGAATTTCCATCAAACAACTTAACAAGCGGCTGCTGATATCAAGTGCATCTTTGCTTGACACAGTTGATGAATTACCAAAACAGATCTTGCACAGTATATAAGAGGGGTTAAAATCAGCTCAGTCCTCAAATGAGCTGAAACAGTTTGCCACCACACTGCACTTTGACCTCCAAAAAGGCATCTGACTATAATTGTGACGACATTGAAAAGCTGTACCACACAGTTCCACTGTCCATGCTTTGTCCTGCAGCATTTCAGCATCTTCCAGTATCTTTCACACACTAAAAAGTCTCTCACAGGCAAACAAGGAGAAGAGAAAAGAAACAATCCATGCCCTCATGATGAATGTTCATTCATCTGAAGACCAGATTTTCAAGGGACCAGTTCTGTTGGTTCTGTGGATATAAACATACAACAGCCCAGCCACCCAGGCCTTGTTCAGCGAGGTTGTGGCTGTAATTGAGTCACATAAAATTCTGATTGCATACTTTCTCATCACAAATACGGATGGA